CAGAGGATGAAAGATTTCTCTGCCTTTAAAAATGACAATAAAAGTGGGGCAAGCGTTTGGCATAGCAGTTAAAATGATGGGTTGGGACCCCCACATTGTGAATCAAGCTCCCCATTCTAGCTACTGGATAATGTGCACCCTAGTAGGCAGCAAGTGACACCCACATGGGAGATCTGGACTGGGTTTCTGGTTGCTGGCACCTGGGAAGTCAAACAGCAGATGGCAGCTCTAACAAAAATATTAATTCACAAAAGCAAAGTCCTGGTTGTGCTTGCCTGGTCAGAACATGGACATGGACTGGGTTCCTGGCTGTTGCAGGAATTTAGGGAGTGAACAAGTGGCTAGGAACTCTCTCAATTATATATTTAAAATAAGGGGGGAAAAAAACACATAGGGAAGCGGCTAATTGGTGTCACCTGGTCTTAGGAGCTGCTCAAATAATTGATGTCATTGGGTATAGGGGCTGGATGGGAACCAGACACTACTGGCTCTGACATGGGGTGCTTGCTGTGGACAATGCTGGTGCTAGGTAGCAGATTTGAAAACCAGATCTGGAGGGGAGAGTGCTAAGATGTGCTAAAACACTGGTTGGAATGCCAGGGGCCCAGTCCATGGGCTTGACCCCCACCCTGATTGCAGCTTCCTGCTAATGCAGGAAGTAGTGATGGCTCTAGTAGTTTATTCCTGCCACTCACATGGGAGACCCCAGTTGAGACCCTGGTGCCCATTTCCCCCATTCCAGGCTGCTCCTGGTACTGGGGAGTCAATCAGCAGCTGACAGGTGCTCTAAAAACCTCTAGAGAAGAAGTCTTATTTGCTGAGGAAAAACTGAGATCTTGAATCTTCAACATCTCTAAAGGCCCAAGCATCTTTTTTTTTTTTTTTTTAAACAGGCAGAGTTAGAGAGTGAGCAAAGGTCTTCCCTCCATTGGTTCACCCCCCAAATGGCCGTTATGGCTGGTGCAGCGCCTATCTGAAGCCAGGAGCCAGGAGCCTCCTCCTGGTCTCCCATGGGGTGGCAAGGGCCCAAGCACTTGGGCCATCCTCCACTGCCTTCCAAGGCCCAAGCATCCTTAACACGTTAATGTCTCCAATATCCAAGAATTTGATTAAAAAAATGTAGGAACTGTTAATGCTTTTAAAAACTTGCTGAAATCTGTGGAGTCACCTAGTGGATCGAAGATTTCTCAACAATTTTTTAGTTTTGGGTTTTCTAACTCGGTGACACACATAAATATGCTCACGTTATGGCTTTTCATGTAAACATGTATTGCCAGACCCTCCTATCTGTACTTACATATAATGGAAATTTCTAGTATGTTAAAAAGGAAACATCTAGAAGAGTTGAAGTACCTCCTCATTACTTTACTCTCCAAAACCAATTTTGCTACCCTTGTCTATAGAATTTTTCACTCTAATGTTCCACTTCAGCAGTTGTTCTGCATTGTTGCACAGGTTAGGCACCTGCGACACCACTCCCCCAACCCCCATCACAGCCCTGAGTTTGAAACCTTGCTGTTCAGCTTCCTAGTCAGCTCCCTGATGACGTGCCTGGAACAGAGATGGCCCAGCACCCACAGGGGAAATCCTGTATGGACTTCCTTGCTCCAGCTTGGCCTATCACAAGCTGGTACAGTCACTTAGGGAGTCAATCAGCAGATGGAAATCGCCTTTCACGTACCTGTGGTGCTTTCAAGCCATTTTTCATCCTCAACCAGCCTTTCACTTGGTGCCTTAAGTACCTGCCCTGCCTCCCCTCCCCCCCAAAACCTGCAGACCTCCATTCCATTTTCTTGGCTTACCAGTTTAGAGACAGAATCAGGTTTACACTTCACTTACACCTGCGAATTCATAGCTTATAGTTAACCAATAATCACAAAAATCTGAAAGCACTTAACTACTGTCTTGCTTTTCAATATATAAAAAGATTATTAAATCAACACTTTTAAATTAAACCTCCCATTTTGCCATTACCCATAAAAAACTTTGAGCAAGACAAAGTTCCTATACCACATTCAAGCAGAAAGTCAAGTGACTTAATTTTGGTCATATTGCCAATCTTAAAACCATACCCCACAGCATTTTAACCAGTTAGGCATACCCACATTAGAATCCCATGACGACAGACACCAAGGATCGTATCATGCAACAAAACGTTTATTAATATTTTGAACAGATTCAGCTATTACTGAAGCTGGTAATTTCTAAACTTAAATTGGGGCAAATGGCTATAGTGCAGAGTAACGCCATCAGGCACTGTGAATGGCAAGACTAAAGAATTAACAGCCACCCCTCAGACGGAGGACCAGATGCAGGGTGGACTCTTTCTGGATGTTGTAGTCAGAAAGAGTGCGGCCATCTTCCAGCTGCTTGCCAGCGAAGATGAGCCTCTGCTGGTCAGGAGGAATGCCTTCCTTATCCTGGATCTTGGCCTTGACGTTCTCGATGGTGTCACTGGGCTCCACCTCCAGGGTGATGGTCTTGCCAGTGAGGGTCTTCACGAAGATCTGCATACCACCTCTCAGACGCAGGACCAGGTGCAGGGTGGACTCTTTCTGGATGTTGTAGTCAGAAAGAGTGCGGCCATCTTCCAGCTGCTTGCCAGCAAAGATGAGCCTCTGCTGGTCAGGAGGAATGCCTTCCTTATCCTGGATCTTGGCCTTGACATTCTCGATGGTGTCGCTGGGCTCCACCTCCAGGGTGATGGTCTTGCCAGTGAGGGTCTTCACGAAGATCTGCATACCACCTCTCAGACGCAGGACCAGGTGCAGGGTGGACTCTTTCTGGATGTTGTAGTCAGAAAGAGTGCGGCCATCTTCCAGCTGCTTGCCGGCGAAGATGAGCCTCTGCTGGTCGGGAGGAATGCCTTCCTTATCCTGGATCTTGGCCTTGACGTTCTCGATGGTGTCACTGGGCTCCACCTCCAGAGTGATGGTCTTGCCAGTGAGGGTCTTCACGAAGATCTGCATACCACCTCTCAGACGCAGGACCAGGTGCAGGGTGGACTCTTTCTGGATGTTGTAGTCAGAAAGAGTGCGGCCATCTTCCAGCTGCTTGCCGGCGAAGATGAGCCTCTGCTGGTCGGGAGGAATGCCTTCCTTATCCTGGATCTTGGCCTTGACATTCTCGATGGTGTCGCTGGGCTCCACCTCCAAGGTGATGGTCTTGCCGGTCAGGGTCTTCACGAAGATCTGCATTGTGACCTACAATTTTCAAGCAAAACAGGGCGTTACCTCACGACCATCACGTCACTTCCACTCCAATAAACGCTTCCAAACCGGCAATTAACTATTTTTAAAATGCCTTAAAAGTCGTTACCATCTCTCAAAGGCTTCCAGTTTTTACTAGACTCCAATTAGTCCCTTAGAACTGGTTAGTCAAGGTTCGGAGTTAGACAACTTTATTCAAAAGTGTTTCGTCAATTACCATCCCACGCCGTGTTTCCTAAATGCTTTAGCTATATGAGGTTCCTTTCCCACCCTGTTCTTATTTTTCCCCAAACCGGAGCACAGCGTTGAGTAAACCGAAAACGAAACGAAATCCGTTAAGTCTCGCCAAGCTTAAAAAAAAAAAAAAATTTGCCGTCCAGAGGCAGGGCCCATTCCCCACAATGGTAAAAATCAGTATTTACCGTTTCCCCAAGTCACACCGGGCTACCTCCCCGCCGCCGTCCCCCTCGGAAGCGAATGCGAAGGAATCGCCATCGGTTAAGCGTCGGTTGGCGTCCGCCGGCGCGCGCGCCAGCCGCCCCAACTCCCCCCGCCGCGCCAACAAGGCCCACTCTCGCGGAAGGGCCCGGCGCGGCGTCACGTCACCCGCCCTCCCCTCCCCCACCTGCCCCCGAGACCCCGCCGGCCAGGCCTCGCTGACAGCTGCCCCCCAGTCCCCGTAGGCCGCGACCCGGTACCTGTGAACGAAGGCGAAAAGTCTCTGAAATAGCAGCCGGTGGGCACGCCAAAAGATCAACGTTCCTTCAAGAAAGCCGCTCGCCACTGGATGCTCAGTCGCGGCGGAGCCGATATTTATACAGCGTCTGTTGCGTAACAGATTACTCCTACGTAGCCACCGTCTCCGTTCGCCAGAAAAAGTAGTCCCCGGGTCTCTCCTCTCGCGTCGCAATGAGGCTTTTCAACTGAGTTCCGAATTACTGCAGACCGAAAAAAGGATCGTAAAAAATTCACTCCCTATTTCTTCAGGCGTCTCTTTTCCTCTTTTAGGAAAATAGAGGAGAAAATATCAGGCGGATGAATCCGAGTTAAAGGGCCCTTCCTCGAAAGCTCTGGAAACTTCCTTGCTGCGCCAGCGTTGATTGGCCGGACGTGTGGGCGCAAAGTCGCCGCTGATTGGTGGAGGGCGCGGCGGCTGAGTTGTTGCTGGGCTCCCTGGCGGCGGAGCCTCGGCGTTGCTAAGTGACGGAGCGCGCGTGCGCCACAAAGGCGCGCCTTCCGGAAAGAGGGGTATTTCCGCCTGAAGGTGGCGGCGGGGGTCTTTGGCGCCAGGTTTGGGAGGTCCGTGTCCCCGAGTCCCGCCTTTTTTCGGTTTTTAGGGACAAAAAGAGCGGGCTACGTGGCGAGTTTCCCGGGCTCTGCTTTGCAAGTGCCCACGGGGGTGTTTTCCCCCTCGCCCTCCGACCAGTGTGAAAGAAACACAACTGTCCCCGCCCCCACTCCGCCTCGCTCTTCCGACAAACAAACGCGCGGTCCGCACCGTGGCCCGTTTTTATTCTTGGTTTGGATTATCGCAAGGTTGAGTGGAGCTTTAGTCACGTCCCTAGATGCTGTGTCACGATCCTCATCACGGCCCCGAGGAGAATCCGGGCATCTCGGCTGTGGAGCGGGGGGCCCTCTGCGGGGACGCCCCCACCGCACCCCGGGCTGTGGGGGACGCGGTGGTCGGCACGGGCCGTACCCGCCAGTGCTCCCGAACGCAGGCAGCGGCAGGGGAAGGCGGGCGACGCGAGGGGTGGGCGAGGCGGCGAAGGCGGCGGACCCCGCTCGGGACCGCGGACGGAGCCCGAGGACCGTGAGGGAGGCAGGGGGTTGGGACCTCGGAGCCACCCGGAGCCGTGGGCGGCGGAGAGGAAGCGAACGTGTGTGACCCTGGCGGTTTGCCTTCTAGACGTTTCCGTGGTCACGCGAATGAGGTAAACAGCGCTTGGGGGTGTGTGCGGGGAGGGGGGGGAGGTCCATAAGTCATTCGATGTCCACCCTGTGTGAGCTTCACGTTAAACTGTCGTTAAAGCAACGGGCCAGTGATGGGTAAATGCCTGGGTTAACACTTTGCTAAGACCGAACGACTTGAGGAAGCAGCAGATAGGAAAAAAATATTTCATTAAAAATAGACAGTTGTGGAAGTGATTGCAAAGGATGTGGGTCAGTTTATAACATGTCTGTTTTACCGAGTCTGGGTCTGTATTATATTAGCCATCAGCGAGTCAGAATCCGCGGAGGGGCCGAGCTGGAGTGCGGCTCTGCAGGCTGCATCTCCGGGTCCAGCAGTTACCAGAACTAAGTCGTGTTGCTTCTCCGTTCCGTGTTTCCCCAAAGTGTTGTCAGTGCAGGGCGCATGCTGTCCTTGTTCGGTAAACAAGGTTTTATGGTGTGTTCCCAAACCAGACTTTTTAGTAAGCACGTGTCATTTCGGGTAATGCGTTATGAAAGGTGATTTGTAAGTGAATTAAACAGTAAAAAGAAAGCCCTAAGATCCGGAATTTAGGGATCTAGCACAGTGTTGCCAGGGTGCTGAATAAATGCTTGTTTACTGAATAAAGTGTAGTTTTCCCAGAAAAGAAAAAAAAAAAAGGCTTTGTGATAGCCATAGGCACCAAAACATGAAAGGAAAAACATGACTATATTGTTCTCGGGTTGCCTGGGCAGTTCTATTGAAAAAAACAAAGAGGAATTTTTTTTTTTCTGGAAGTTTCAATGATTTCACTTAGCTAGTTGTCTTTTCATAAAAATGTATCCGAGGGCTGGCGCTGCGGCTCACTAGGCTAATCTTCCGCCTTGCAGCGCCGGCACACCGGGTTCTAGTCCCGGTCGGAGCGCCGGATTCTGTCCCGGTTGCCCCTCTTCCAGGCCAGCTCTCTGCTGTGGCCAGGGAGTGCAGTGGAGGATGGCCCAAGTGCTTGGGCCCTGCACCCCATGGGAGACCAGGATTAGCACCTGGCTCCTGGCTCCTGCCATCAGATCAGCGTGGTGCGCCAGCTGCAGCGCACCAGCCGCGGCGGCCATTGGAGGGTGAACCAACGGCAAAGGAAGACCTTTCTCTCTGTCTCTCTCTTTCACTGTCCACTCTGCCTGTCCAAAAAAAAAAAAAAAAAAGTATCAGAGAACTTCAGTTCCAATTACAAATTCACAATTGTTCACTCGACGTTACCAAGTGGTACTTAAAATGTGGACTTTATATTTCATATTTGGCTGTTTATTTCAATAGTTATGGGACTAAATCCTAATTTGTTACAAACAAGATAGAAACGTTGATATTGAATCCCAAATGAACACAGCAAAATTCTGAAGTACTTTGATCTTGAACCTCAAACTTCCAGAAATCTGCCCTTTTAAAAATAACTACTTTAAAATGTTGTTATGAAATAGCAATACATAATGAAAATTTAAGATAATATAGCAAACACCATAGAACCACCAATTTCCTTAAGTTTTTTTTTAACATTTATTTATTTTTTGTTGTTTTCTGTTTTTTAGAGAGAGAGAAAGATCTTCCATCCACTGGTTCACTCCCCAAATGGCTGCAATGACCGGAGCTACACTGATCCAAAGCCAGGAGCCAGGAGCTTCCTCTGGTTTCCATATGCAGGTGCAGGGGCCCTAGGACTTGGGCCATCTTCTACTGCTATCCCAGGCCATAGCAGAGTTAGACAGTGAGAGAGAGGAGAGAGACAGAGAGAAAGGTCTTCCTTCTGTTGGTTCACCCCCCAAATGGCTGCTACGGCCGGTGCTGTGCTGATCCAAAGCCAGGAGCCAGGTGCTTCCTCCTGGTCTCCCATGCGGGTGCAGCGCCCAAGCACCTGGACCATCCTCCACTGCCTTCCCATGCCACAGCAGAGAGCTGGACTGGAAGAGGAACAACTGGGACCTGAACCCGGGGCCCATATGGGATGCCGGCGCCGCAGGCAGAGGATTAACCAAGTGAGCCATGGTGCCAGCCCCAAGATTTGTTTATTTTATTTCGGGCCCAGCACTGTGGTGTAGCAGGTAAAGCCACCGCCTGCAAGTGCTGGCATCCCATATGTGCACCGGTTTGAGTCCCAGCTGCTCCACTTCCAATCCAGCTCCCTGCTATGGGCTGGACAAGCAGCAGAAGATGGCCCAAGTGCTTAAGACCCTTCACCTGCATGGCAGACCCGAAAGAAGCTCCTGGCACCTGATCCCCGTAGATCTGGCTGAAGTGGCCTTTTGGGGAGTGAACCAGCACATGGAAGATCTTTCTCTCTCCCTCTCTCTCTCTCTCTCTCTCTCTCTCTCTGCCTCACCTATCTCTGTGAAACTCTTTCAAATAAACCTTTTTTTTTTTTAAAAAAAGATGTATTTTATTTGAACGGCAGAGTTACAGAAAGAGGGAGGGACAGAGAGAGAGGTCTTCCATACGCTGGTTCACTCCCCACATGGCCACTTCAGCCAGAGCTGGGCCAGACGGGAGCCAGGAGCTGCTTCTGGGTCTCCTATGTGGGTGCAGGAGCCCAAGGACTTGGGCCGTCTTCCACTGCCTTCCCAGGTGCGTTAGCAGGGAGCAAGATGGGAAGTGGAGCAGCTGAGACTCAAACCAGCGGCCATATGGGATGCCAGGGCTACAGGCAGCTACCCACTACACCACAGCATAGGCCCCATTTCTGTAACTCTTAAAAAAAAAAAAAAAAAGTGGTGCCTGGACATAGAAAGAGAAAAAGCACCCAATAAATATTAGTCATATGGAAAAAGAGAAAGGGCTAGCATCGTGGTGCAGCAGGTTAAGCCGGCACCTGCAATGCTGGAATCCCATATTGGAGTGCCAGTTCAAGGCCTGGCTGTTCTGCCTCCAATCCAGCTCCCTGCTAACACTCCTGGGAGAACGTGGGAACATGGCGCAGGTGCTTGTGCCTCTGCCACCTACGTGGGAGACCCGGATGAAATTCCTGGCTTCAGCCTGGCACAGACTCAGCTGTTGGGGCCATTTGGGGAGTGAGCAGGTGGATGGAAGCACTCTGGCTCTGCGTAAGCTCTGCTCAAATAAATAAATCTTAGAAAAAAGAAAAAAAAAAAAGCAGTGCATACAGTCTTTTGTGGAGGCCTAGAGGAAGGGGCAGTTTAGTTATGTGGGGGACCATGGAGTTTCAGAGCAGGTACTGTTGGGCCATTCACAAGGATGAGTGGGCTTGTCCAGGCATGAGAGCAGGAGGAAACATGAGAAGGCTTGGGTGTTGAAGAAGTAGAAGTAGTGGGTAGTTGTTTACGGCTGGAACCTAGGGTGGCTGCCAGTGGGCAGGGGAAGCAGAACTCAAGTCTCCACACTGTCCAGCCCCACTGGCCCCTGCAGTCCTTAGGAAACACCAAGCTCTCCCCAACTGCTGGATCTTTGCACTTGATGTTGCCTTTACTTAGAACTGCTCTCACAGCCACGTCCTTTCCGTGTTTTAGGAAACATAAGTGGCACGTCCTGAGAAAGGCTGTCTGTGACATTAGCTGTGCTCCTGGGACTCAATCACAGTTCCCCAGTTGTCTGTTTTATAACAGTGTCATGTTTAATCAATCTATAATTTTATTATTTTGTAGTTCTATCTCTGTTTCCCCTCAGAGAGAATGTAAACTACATGAGGGGTCCAGGCCATGTCTACTAGTCCATCACTAGCATAGTATCTGGTACATAAATAGCACTTAGTAGTTATTGAGTAGATGACTAACAAGGGCCCACTTTACTGTGCTAAGGACTTTAGACTTCTTTCTATAGTTGTTTTGCTTGGGAGTGACCTTATCAGAATTTCTATTTTAGTATAACTTGTTGACATCTCAACAGGTGAAAGGGGATGAAATGGAGGCCTTCAGAGACTGTGGCCATTGTCCAAATAAAGTATGATGAGCATCTATAACTAGACAAGGGGACAAAGACCAGCATCCCTAGGGAAAGCAGGAGGAGAGCCCCTGTTGTCACACAGTGGGTCGATGCCGGCATCCCATATTGCAATGCTGGTTGCTCAGCTTCCAGTCCAGCTTCCTGTTAATGCACCTGGGAAGGCAGCAGAAGATGGCCAAGTGTTTGGACCCCTGCCACCCACATGGGAGACCTGGGTGGGGTTCCTTGCTCCTGGCTTCAACTTGGCCCAGAACCGGCTGTTGTGGCCATTTGGGGTGGAAGATCTCCCCCCCCCCACCTCTGTTACTCTGTCTTTCAAATAAGTATGTCTTTAAAGAAAGGAGAACAGATTAGTTGTCACGTGGGGATGGAGGCAGGGAGAAGGAATGTGGTAGCATGAATTATTAAAGGCAGAGAGAAGCTTTTGGAGTAATGGAAATGCTTATTGTCTTGGTTGTGGTGATGGTTTCATGGGGGTAAACATTAAGAAGCTTGGCAGTTTGTATACTTTGAATATATGCAACTTACTGCTCATCAGTTATACCTCAAAGCAAGAACACTTTTAAGAGATTTATTTTCACTATTTGAAAAGTGGACTGACACACAGAAATCTTTCATCTGCTGCTTTACTTCCAAATGCCCAAGCACTTGAGCCATCCTCTGCTTCCTCTCAGGATACGTTAGAAGGAAGCTGGATCAGAAGCTCTCCCATAGGGGATGTGGATGTCCTAAGCAGTGGTTTAACCTGCTGTGCTACAATGTCTGTCCCTCTCTGTGCCAGCCCCCTCTCATAGGCCTCTGTGATCAGTGAGAGCGTGCTTGTTCGTGTACTGGACTGCAGCCTCCCACCATTCCAGTAAACTCGTCTCTTCTGGAGAGTTTCTCTTTAGGTTGACATACTCATTCATTCATTCCCTTTCTTACCCCTGTAGATTGTTAGCCTCTGGAGGTCAGATTCTGTCCCATTCATGGCTGCCCAGAGGAACACCTGGCACAGAGTAGGTGCTAAGTAAATGTCTGCTGTCTGTCCAACATTCCCTCTCCCAGACGGACCGCGAGGCTGTGCCTGGAAGAGGCACCAGCACACAAATGGCCCCCTTCACACAGCAGAGGGGCAGCCCCTTCCTCTAAGGAGACGCATCTTTCTGGCCTCAGTAGCCTGCCCCTGTCTGGCTCATTGGAGGCTTTGCTGTGCTGCCTACCCTCAGGCACATTCCTGTAACAAAGGAGAAGTGAACAAATAGGATGGGTGGTTGGGGGTGTGGGCTTAAAGCACTCTGTCCATGGTACTGAGAGCATCAAAGGCCCTAGTGACCGAGTGAGGTGGTGTAGGGTGGAGAAGTAGGAGTCAGAGAAAAGGTGCTCAGAATATGGAAAGGCCCCATCACCCAGGGGAAGAGGGGAGGTTCAGGCCCCAAAGTGGCCCCTGGGTAAAGGGCACTGAAAAACAGTTCCAGGATGAGAGTTACGGTGCAGGATGCCCACATCCTATGTCAGAGTACAAGTTTGAGTCCTGTCTACCCTGCGTCCAATCCAGCTCCTTGCTGATGTTCCTGGGAAAGCAACAACGGATGCTCGGGCCCCCTGCCACCCAAATGGGAGACTCAGAGTGCCAGACTCCTGGCTTCAACCTGGCCTGGCCAGCCTCGGCTGTTGTGGGCATTTGGGCATGGAACAAACAGATGAAAGATCTGTCTTGAGTTTCTCTTCCTCCTTTTCCCCCTGCCCCTCCCCCTTTGCTCTACATTTCAAATAAATTTTTGTTAAAGTTCTCAGAGGAAACAGAAATTTGAACCTGTTCTGAGGGTTCTTGTTTTGTTTTTACCTTTAAAAAATAAAAAAAGATTTATTATTTATTTATTTATTTGAAAGTCAGAAGTATACACAGAGAGAAGGAGAGAGAGAGGGAGGGAGGGATGTCTTCCATCTGCTGGTTCACTCCCAAATTGGCTACAATAGCCAGAGTTGTGCCGATCAGGAGCCAGAAGCCTCTTCCGGGTCTCCCACATCGTTGCAGGGGTCAAGGACTTGGGCCATCTTCTACTGCTTTCCCAGGCAATTGCAGGGACCTGGATGGGAAGTGGAGCAGCTGGGTCTCGAGCCGGTGCCCACATGGGATGCCAGCACTGCAGGCGGCGGCTTCACATGCTACGCCACAGTGCCGGCCCCAGTAAATAAATCTTAAAAAAAAAAAGAAATAATACCAAATGCTCACTAGTAGACATTTACTGGAGGCTGAGGACAGAAACAGTTGTGGCCTTGAAGGGCACCAGAATAGACCACTCCAAAGTGAGCCTTTTTTTTTTTTAAGATTTTATTTATTTATTTATTTAAGAGTACAGTTACAGCCGGCGCCGCGACTCACTAGGCTAATCCTCCGCCTTGCGGCGCCGGCACACCGGGTTCTAGTCCTGGTCAGGGCGCCAGATTCTGTCCTGGTTGCCCCTCTTCCAGGCCAGCTCTCTGCTGTGGCCTGGGAGTGCAGTGGAGGATGGCCCAAGTGCTTGGGCCCTGCACCCCATGGGAGACCAGGAGAAACACCTGGCTCCTGCCATCGGATCAGCGCGGTGCTGCGGCCGCGGTGGCCATTGGAGGGTGAACCAACGGCAAAAGGAAGACCTTTCTCTCTGTCTCTCTCTCTCTCACTGTCCACTCTGCATGTCAAAAAAAAAAAAAAAAGCACAGTTACAGAGAGAGGGAGAGACAGAAAAGTCTTCCATCCACTGGTTCACTCCCTAGATGGCTGCAACAGCCAGAGCTGGGCCTATCTGAAGCCAGAAGCCAGGAGCTTCTTCCAGGTCTCCTATGCACTTGGGCCATCTTTGGCTGCTTTCCCAAATACATTAGCAGGGAACTGGATAGGAAGTGGAGCAGCTGGGACTTGAACCCACACTTATATGGGATGATTGTAGACAGTGGCTTTACTTACTATACCACAGTGCCGGCTGCATCAGAGAAATCTGATAAAGCTTCTTTCCCAACATGGTTGGAGTTGTTATTGCTTGAACCCTACATACATATTATGTGCATTATTAGTATAACAGTCAAGAGTTAAAATCTGTTGCTGCCATGAGGAAGTAGACTAGAGGGCGGGACAGGAGACTGGTGAGTCCACTGGATGTGGGCAGCAGTTCAGGGTGCCCAAGGTCAGTGCCCTTCCCTACATCACGAGCTGGGCCACCTGCTAACTGCGTGACCGTGAGTGAGTGAGTTGCACTCATCCTCACGTGGACGGCAGGAGCACCTGCCTTGTGAGGGTTGCCACTCAGCACTCACTGTCCACTGTTAGGGCTGCCCAGGAAGAAAGGGTGTCTTTTTCTAACTCACTCAGAAGCCTTGACAAAGATTCTTTGCTTGGACAAACTTGAGTGAAGTTTCTGTGCCTTCTCCTGGGCCCATTCGTGTACTTCCTTACGCAGATATAAAATGCAGCTGGAACGAAGACCCTGCTGAGTCAGTTTAGCCTTAACTCCCTTCCTTGATATCTGACCAGCTTCCTCATCCTCCATCCATGTGAAGTCTGGTCACCCTGTCCTGTCTTCAGCAAGAATCCGGCCAAGTCAGTTTAGCCAGAATCCCCCTCATCCCTGATGTCTCCTCCCAGTAATTTTCCATCCTCTGACAGCTGTAAATCGCCACTTGCCTGCGGTGCACTTAGCACTCTCTCCCACTGCCCACTGCACCACTCTGCTGCAATAGACCCTGTACTTGTCAGAAAGTCCTGAATAAAAGTGTTACTGTGGCCGGCGCCATGGCTCAACAGGCTAATCCTCCACCTAACGGCGCCGGCACACCGGGTTCTAGTCCCGGTCAGGGCGCCGGATTCTGTCCTGGTTGCCCCTCTCTGCTATGGCCTGGGAGTGCAGTGGAGGATGGCCCAGGTCCTTGGGCCCTGCACCTGCATGGGAGACCAGGAGATGCACCTGGCTCCTGGCTTCGGATCAGTGCGGTGTGCCGGCCGCGGCGGCCATTGGAGGGTGAACCAACGGCAAAAGGAAGACCTTTTTCTCTCTGTCCACTCTGCCTGTCAAAAAAAAAAAAAAAAGTGTTACTGTACCCCAACAGGTGTCATTGAGTCATTTTATTTATTTATTTTAAAGATGTGTTTGTTTATTTTTAATAATTTGTTAACCTAGGGGCCGGCGCCATGGCTTGCTTGGCTAATCCTCCACCTGCGGCGCTGGCATCCCATATGGGCACCAGGTTCTAGTCCCAGCTGCACTTCTTCCAGTCCAGCTCTCTGCTGTGGCCTGGGAAAGCAGCAGAGGATGGCCCGAGTACTTGCGCCCCTGCACCCGCATAGGAGACCAGGAAGAACCTCCTGGCTCCTGGCTTCGGATCGGCGTAGCTCTGGCTGTGGCGGGCATTTGGGGGGTGAACCAACAAAAGGAAGACCTTTCTTTCTTTTCTCTCTTTTCTCTCTCTGTCTCTCTCACTAACTCTGCCTATCAAAAAAAAAAAAAAAAGAAAGAAAAGAAAAGAAAGGCACAATTACACAGAGAAGGAGAGGAAGAGACAGGTCTTCCATCTGCTGGTTCACTCCCCAGATGGCTGCAACAGTCGGGTGCAGGTCAGATGAAAGCCTGGAGCCCTGAACTCCATCCTGGCCTCCCATGTGGGTGACCAGCCCAAGTACTCAGGCCGTCCTCCTGTGCCTTCCCAGGCACGTTAGCAGGAATGCTGGACTAGAAGAGAAGCAGCCGGGACTCAAACCAACACTCACGTGGAATGCAGGCATTGCAGGCTGTGTCTTATCCTGCCGGGCCACAACACTGGCCCTTGCTGAGTCATGTTTACTTGAACCGCATCCGTCAGCCTGCGGAGCCCTGTGCCAGCTCAGACTTTTTTGCCAGTTGGCACCAAGTTTGGTGGTGCCCTAGAAGATGCTCAGAGGTTCTCATTTTTCCCCAGGTGTGTTGACAGGAGGGATGTAAATACTCAGAGAAATAACATCAAGGACAGAAATGAGGTCTGTCAAACAAGCTGAGCAATGTGGGTGCTTCTGCCAGTGCACCCTAACCTCAGGCAGGTTCTTCTACCTCAAACTGGATTCCCTGGTGGGAAGCTCCCAGGCCCCTCAAGTGTGTAGGTACAAAATGGTGTGAGGTAACGGCGTTACCTCCTTGCTACTGTACCTGCCGCTAGCCGCATGACAAGGGGCCGCCTCCCCCCTAGTGGTCGCTGAGGATTCTGCACATTCCCAGGGGTGAAGGTACTCTGGAGGGCGCTCCAGCCAGGTCCCACTCATCGGGCATAGGCAAATCTTATCAAAAAAGCGTATTTGCATCAGAGGGTGCTGCTGTTTACTCTTACGCTTCTACATTATAGTATCCTTGTTTTCCAGAAGGAGAACTTACACAGCAGTGCTTTAAAACAGCAAATTGAACACACTATTTTCAGATTCTCTTTTAAAATCCTGTACATGTTTGCCAGTTTTTTAAAAAAATTATTTGAGACGAAGAGAGAGCTCCTATCTCCCCCAAATCATGCAGCAGTTGAAGTTGAGGGCCTGGAACTCAATTCATGTCTCCCAAATAGGTGGCAGGGACCCAATTACTTGAGCCACTACTGGCTACTTCCCAGGGTCTGTCTGAGTGGGAGCAGGGCCAGGACTTGGATCCAAGCACTTGGATAAGATGGGAGCTTCCCAACTGAGTCTTGACCACCAGGCCTGCCCCTTCCTAGGGTTTTTGCCTTGTCCCTTAAGAGTTGAGAGTTGTATTTTTTCTCGTGGGAGCACATCACATACTGGACTGTTTTCACCATATCCCGAGTCACCAGACTTCATCATTGTTGATTTTAGGCGCCTAATCTAGAATCAAAAATGTCCATGTTAGGGGCCGCACAACAGGTTAAGCCACCATTTGTGATGCCAGCATCCCATATTGGAGTGTCAGTTCAAGTCCCAGCTGTTCCACTCCAGCATCCTGCTGATGCACCTGGAAAGTCAAGAGAAGATGGCCCAAGTACTTAGGCCCCTGTCACTCATATGGAACATCCGGATGGAGTTCCTGGCTCCTGGCTCTGGCCTGACCCAGACCTGGCTGTTGTGCCATCTGGAGAGAGAACCAGTGGATAGAAGATCCATTTTTGTCTCTGCCTCTCTCTCACTCTGCCTTTCAAATAAATAAACCTTTAAAAAGTCCAACTTTTTGTTTAAAGGTTTATCTATTTACTTGAAAGGTAGAATTACAGACAGAGAAACACAGAGACAGAGACCTTCCATCTGCTGGTTCACTCCCCAAATGGCCACAACAGCCCAGGCAGGGCAGTCTCCCACATGGGTACAGGGGCCCAAGCACTTGGGCATCCTTTGCTGCTTTCCCAGGCTCATTAGCAGGGAGTTGGATCAAAAGTGGAGCAGCCAGGATTTGAGCCAGTGCTCCTTATGGGCTGCTGGCATTGCAGGTGGCAGCTTAACCCACTGTGCCACAACACTGGCCCTAAATTTGTTTAATTGTAGTAAAATAGACATAAAATTCACCATTTTCACAATTTTTGAATGCACCGTTCGCTGGCTTTAGGCACATTCACATTGTGCAGTCATCACCACTCCGCACCTCCAGCATTATCACCTTCCCCGACTGAAATTGGACCAGGAAGCACAACTCCCTCCAGCCTCTGTCACCTGCCATTCTACTTTTTGTCTATGAATTTGACTGCTTCTGGTACAAAAATGACCATTTCTGGTTTTTACAAGTGGACTTTTGTATCCTAAACCTGCCATGTTATACATCACGGTGTGCAAACTATGAGTAATTTTTTGTCTTTTTTTCTTCTATTTGCGCTTTAGCATGCAGGATGAGTTTATTGTAGTCATATATAGCATAAATTCCACTGTCTTAACTTCTTCTAGTGTACAGTTCAGTGGCTTTAAGTACATTCATGATGTTATGCAACCATCACCAGTATCCGTTTCCAAAGCTTTTTGATTATACTGAAACCCTGTACTCATTAAACAGTAAGTCCTCATTCCCTTCTCCCCGAGTCCCTGTTAACCACTATTATACTCTCTGTCTACAAATTTATTTTAAAGTGTTATTTATTTGAAAGGCAGAGTTGCAGAGATTGGGGGAAAGAAATCTTCCATCTACTGGATCACTCTCCAAGTGGCCACAGTGGCTGGGGCAGAGCCAGGCTGAAGACAGGAGCCTGAAACTCCAGACTGGTCTCCCATGTGGGTGGCAGGGGCCCAGGCACTTGGGCCATCTTGTGCTGCTTTTCCCGGCCCATAGACAGGGAGCTGGATCAGAAGAGGAGCATCTGGGACACGAACCAGTGCTCAAAAGGGTGCTAGTGTTGCAGGCTGAAACATGTGTATTTAAAGACATACATGTGCACATCTGGCTAAATTCCTGAATTCTGTGGGTAAAGGGAGAAATCAGCAAGTTTTCATAATGAAGGAAGAGGCTATTTTGATTACTATTATTTGTTCAAGAGAGAGGGAGAGAGAGAAAGGGAGAAAGATCTTACATCAGCTTCGTCCTGATGCAGACCGTCAGAGGCAGCCGTGATACCTCAAATACTTGGGTCCCTGCCACCCATCCTGACGACCTGGATTAAGTTCTGTGCTCCCGTCTTCAGCTCTGGCTGAATCCCAGCAATTGTGGGCATTTGGAGAGTGAACCAACAGATGGGACCTCTCTCTGTGTGACTCCCAAATAAGTAAATACAAGCTTGTAAAAAAGAATCAAGCTGAGGCCGGCGCCGTGGCTCACTTGGTTAATCCTCCGCCTTGCAGCGCTGGCATCCTATATGGGCGCCGGGTTCTAGTCCCGGTTGCTCATCTTCCAGTCCAGCTCTCTGCTGTGGCCTGGGAGAGCAGTGGAGGATGGCCCAAGTGCTTGGGCGCCTGCACCTGTGTGGGAGACCAGGAGGAAGCACCTGGCTCCTGGCTTCGGATCGGCATAGCTCCAGCCGTGGCGGCCATTTGGGGGGTGAACCAACGGAAAGAAGACCTTTCTGTCTGTCTCTCTCTCTCACTGTCTATAACTCTACCTGTCAGATAAAAGAAAAATTAAAAAAAAAAAAAAAGAAGCTAAAGTAGTTAAACAGAGTGGTATTGATATGTTACAGTATATGCAGAAAGTTTGAAAGACTAAGACAAATATATAAAATTTCTAGAAGAAATTATCTCTGGGGGTAGGAGCAGGCAATGAGATTTTTCTTTTCCAATGTGACATTTTAAAAACATCATGGGGGCCAGGGCTGTGGCACAGCGGGTTAATGCCCTGGCCTGAAGTGCTGGCATCCCATATGGGTGCCGGTTTTAGTCCCGGCTGCTCCTCTCCTGATCCAGCTCTCTGCTGTGGCCTGGGAAAGCAGTAGAAGATGGCCCAAGTCCTTGGACTCCTGAACCCACGTGGGAGACCGGGACGAAGCTCCTGGCTCCTGGCTTCGGATTGGTGCAGCTCCGGCCGTTGTGGCCAACTGGGGAGTGAACCAGTGGATGGAAGACCTCTCTCTTGTCTGTACTTCTCTCTGTAACTCTGTCTTTCAAATAAATAAAATAAATCTTTTAAAAAAACACCATAAAATAATCACAAATCGGCCTTCATCACAATAAAACACCTCCACTAATCAAAGACAGCATTAAGAAAGGGAAAAGGAAAGCCAGCCCTGGGAGAACTCATTCTCAGTATATGTATCTGGCAAATGACAGGTTTTTGGACATAAATACCTCCTTTGTATCAAACAACCCAACTGATAAAACGGACTGATTCTCAGAGGAGTGCTTGTGAACAGGTACCTCAATAAAATAAGAACTCCAGATGGTCAGTAAGCACATGGAAAGATGTTCCACCTCACTACACAACAAGAAAATGCAAAATAATGCCACAAAGAGACATCACAGCACAAACAGGGTAAGTCCAAAGACTCATAAGGTCACAAGATATTGTGATATATAGCCCAGATATCTCTAGTAGGGTGTAAGATGGTGTAACCACTTTGAAAAAAACGATTTAGCAGTTCTTACAAAAACAGTGCTCACCTATGACCCAGAAATTCCACTCCTCTGTATATACTGAGGAGAAATGAGTCCACAGAAAGACTTACAGACAAATATCAATGCAGGAAGTAACTTTATTCGTAACTGGCACACATTGGAAACAGGCAAATAAACTTGGATGTATTCATAAATAATATCACAGAAGTAAAGCGTACGCAGTACATAACCGGGATGATTCCCAAAAACATGCTGAGTGAAAGATGTCAGATATAGCAGTCCAGGATGTTTCTAAAGGACATTCGAGAATAGGCAAAACTGGGGCCAGTGTCGTGGCACACTGCCTGTGATGCTGGCATCCCATATAAACGCCAGTTTGAGTACCAGCTGCTCTGCTTCCAATCCTGCTCCCTGCTAATGTGCCTGGGGGAGCATCGAATGATGGCCCAAGTGCTTGGGCACCTGCTATGCACATGGAAGATCCAGATGGAGTTCTTGGCTCCTGGCTTCTGCCTGTCCCAGCCCGGGCTGCTGTGGCTGTTTTGGCAGTGAACCAGCAGATGGAAGATCTCTTTCCCTCTGTAACTCTGCCTTCACATAACTCTTTAAAAAAAAGTAAAACTAACCTGTGGAATTGGTGGTTACATAAGTTACATATTTAAGATATGTGCATTTTGCTGTAAACTATAACTCCAATAAAGAAAATGGCGGCCGGCGCCGCTACTCACTAGGCTAATCCTCTGCCTGCGGCGCTGGCATCCTGGGTTCTAGTCCCGGTCGGGGCGCCGGATTCTGTCCCGGTTGCCCCTCTTCCAGGCCAGCTCTCTGCTGTGGCCAGGGAGTGCAGTGGAGGATGGCCCAAGTGCTTGGGCCCTGCACCCCATGGGAGACCAGGATAAGTACCTGGCTCCTGGCTTTGGATTGGCGCAGTGCTGGCCGTAGCGACGACTTGCGGGGTGAACCAATGGAAAAAGGAAGACCTTTCTCTCTCTCTCTCACTGTCTATAAATCTGTGTGTGTCTCTCTCTCACTGTCTAACTCTGCCTGTCCAAAAAATAAATAACCCACTGAAATGAATGAATTGTGTGTTTAGTTCAATAATCTATAAAACTATAAGATGAATAAGGGAATTAATAAAGAGCTATATTAAAGTAGAAAAAAGTGAAAATACTATTTCTTGGACTATGAGGTTTGAAGAATCGTCATCATCATCATTCTCGTGATTTTTGTCTTTGAATTTTGGTGTCGAGTTTGTGTCGGAATTCAACGTGGGCTTGATTCATCTGTTTAGTTAAAATTAAAAGCAAAATCTGTTTATTATCGATCTCCTGAAGATGCCGTTTGACAACGTGACGGAAAAGACCAAGTTTGAGAACTGTGATTTGGGCCGCCACTACCAGCAGGTAGCAGGTAAGCAGGCTTTTACACACATCAGCTCATTCCAGGCGCAGGATGGCTCCGGCAAGGTAGGGGCTGTCTCCATCTTGGGAAGGAAGCTACCCCCGGCTGCCCGCTCGGCCCTGGTTGTGCGTCCAGGCAATGACCCGTGCCTCCCCAGGCCAGTTTAGATGTCCCCCGGATCCTGAGGGGGTCGGGGAGGGAGACGCGCACAGCGCCTTCGCAGGGGGTGAATTAGGGCTTGGCGAGGGGCGGGGGCCCGGCGCGCCGGCCCGTTAGATCCGCAGGATGGCGCTGGGCAGGTGCAGGCCCTGAGGGCAGGCCCGGGGGCCGGGTCTCCCCTCTGAGGGCAGGCGGCCAGGTGCGGCGAGCGGGGCCGGGCAGCCCCACGCAGCGCCCCCTGGGCCTGCAGGTTGGCGGGCGGCGGGTGCGCGCGCGGGGCGACGGGGACGCGCCGGCGCTGCGAGGCCTGCGCGCCAGGCTGCGGGAGCCATGCGGCGGGCAAGGAGCTCCACAGCCGCCACGCCGCGCGGGCAGAAGCGGTCCGGGGCCTCCGGCGCCCCCGCCGCCGCCTCGGCCCCCAACGACAACCGCACACGGCGCGCCACCAGCAAGGCCAGAGGCGGGAGCCAGGCGGCCAAGAAGCCGCCGTCGGCGAAGCGGGGGCCGAGGCCCTCGCCGCCGCGGGCCCAGGAGGCGGGCCCCGAGGAGCCGCCGGCAGAGTCGGCGCTGCTGTCGCCGCCGCGGCCCCCGACCCCGGCGACCCAGACGTCCTCGGTGTCCACGCTGGACCTGGGCGAGCAGCGGGAGCGCTGGGAGACGTTCCAGAAGCGGCAGAGGCTCAGCTTCGAAGGCGCCGCCAAGCTCCTGCTGGACACCTTGTGAGTGCGGCCGGGCCGGTACGGGCGCGCGGGAGCCGGCGCCACGCGGACGCCCCTCGGCGCCCAGTCGGGTCCGCGTCCGCGGCGGCGCGCGGGGATGCTGGGCACCTTTCGGTTGTGCTGCGCCGCCGGCTCACGCGAACGGGGCGGACCGCCGGGCTTGGCCCACTCTGCAGCGCCGAGGGGCGGCGTGGCCCCCCGGGGGGCGTGGGCGGCCCGTGGGGGAGCCCGAGCGGGGCTCGGAGGGCGCGCGCCGCCGGCAGGGTGGGCACACAAAGGGGGCTTCGCGGGCCGCCGCCGGGGACGTCAGGCGCTGTGGCGGGCCGCGGGGGTCCCTTCCCGGGGAAAGCGCTTCTAAACCTAGCACGACTTTCCCCGCGTCTTCACCCGCCCCGTCCCCCGGTGTGTTGTTGGTTGGTTTGTTTTTTTTTTTTTTTTTTTTTTTTTGCATTTGCACCTGTGGTTTTTTGTTTTTGTTTTTGTTTTTGTGTTGAGGTGGACGACAGAAAGAGGCAGAGGAGTTGAGAGAGGCGCGAGTAGCTGGCCACCCGGATCCCGTCATTGTTGCGGGCGCTCGTGGGGAGGGAGCGGGGCCAGGGGGTGCGGGGTTGGGGGGGTGGGGGGTCCCCGAGAAAGCGGTGCTCGGGACGCCGCCGGCCACCGGCTCCCCGCGGACCGGCGCTCCCGGGCGAGGGGGCTTTGCTCGCTCCTCGCCCCTCGGGTTCTGGCCCTGGAAGTCTGGCCGGGCTGTGTGGTCCGATGCTCGTGCCCCCAAAGAACTCTCTTAAGGCCCGTAAACTATCAGGACATCAATGATTTTATGAGTTGTGGAGAGAACGGTTAAGGCACGAGGGGGAAAAAAAGGAAAAAAAAAAAAAAGTATCAGCACCACCACCAGCGGAATAACATAACAGTTTCATAACAGTCTTGAGAATTCACTCCTTTTCGCGACCAAAACAATGCGCCTTTGTCCTTGTCCCGGAAGACGTTGTCGTCTTCGGGATGAGTGTTGATGGAATAATGGGTTTTCTGTGTTGCTTCTGATTTTTTTTCCCCCATTTATCATGTCAGATTGTACACCGAACCATTTAAAAAAAAACTTGTTCATCTAGCCAACGTGTTTTTTTTTTTTTTGATATCTGTGGTTGTGCCTGCTGCTGCTGGGGATAGGGGAATAAAAGAAGAGTGTTAGAAATGTAAAACTCAAATCTGAGGTAGATTTTTACTTTCAAATTGATAAATGGTAACGAAAAGACTTGAAAATATTGATGGAAAAAGATGCGCTTTTTTGCCCCGAAATCTGCCGAATTATGTACAAAAAGTGCCATTTTTATGAAACTATTATTGTATTAAAAAGTTTTCGGGAAGGTATAGCAAATAGTTAACTGGATCCCTCTCGGTATAAAGATTACGGAGGCTGTTACTTTGAACGCTGCCAAATGTGATATCAGGATGTTTTACAATCAGCATTACTTATATATGCAAGCATTGAAAACATACTGAGTTCTAAAGAGACGTGAAGAAGCATTCAGTCTTAATCAGATACATGCAAATTAAAACTACAGTGAGCTTGTTTTCTGTAATCACTGCTCCAGAAGGCACAGTGCTGTGTTCTCGTTCAGTACTGGTGAGAGTGCTCGGTCCTTTTGGAAAGCACTGTGAATCGTTTTCAAGTCTTCATGTTCAGTGTTGGTCTCTATACCTTATTGTTTAAAAAAAGATCAGCATGGTATTTAATACATATGCGTGTGTGTATGTAATTATGTAAAATACTGCATATAGGAAAAACACTGGAGGGCTCTCTGGCAGGGTCACTGGAGTCTTCTTGCTTTCTCAGAGGGCTTGTCTGAGCCACCGGACTTGTTGGGGGACCCTGTCTCATAGCAGCCTGTTGCACCTGCGTCTCTTTCGCAGTGGGATATTTGGGCGGTTTGTGTGGTGGCTGCTTAGGGTCTGTAAGAACATGAACCATGTCTGCTGTGTCTTGCTGATCGCTGACTGTCTGGTGGCCTAACTCTTGAACACTTGTAGTATTTGACATAGGAATAAAAATGTTTGGATGTTGGGGTTAGGGTCCTGCCTCCCACTGCACCCCCCCCCATTTTCTCCAAATTCTTGGAACATTTTTTTTTGCAGTTGTATACACGTTAAGAAGTGGGGGGAAAGAACGAGAGTGCTCTTCTTGAACAAAGAAGGCACTAAATCTGTTCTTCTTTTATAAAATTGACAGCGCCTCCCTAAAAGTCAGAATGCCTGGCTTGTCCCATAGACGAGACTTTTGTCCAATCCCGCCTCTTTGAAAAACAAAGAGACAAAGCGGGAGCCATGCCATAAGGCCCCCGCCCGACAATTCTGAAATTCTTATCTTTCTGATTTTTGTTACATGCAGTGAGTACCAGGGCCTGGTGAAGCACACAGGAGGCTGCCACTGTGGAGCGGTCCGTTTCGAAGTTTGGGCCTCGGCGGACTTGCACATCTTTGACTGCAAGTGAGTATGCTTTTCTGACGCAGAGCTGGCTCACAGGACTCCAGGGGCTAAGACGTGCTGCTCCCAATCTCATCTGGGGAGCCGGGATGTGGATGAAACAACGCTGGCCAGGAACTGATAGCTGTTGAAGCCAGGTGTGAGATACAAAAGGGTTCATTGTTCTAGCCTTTCTCCTTCTGTAAGGCTTGAAATTTACAGTGATGAAATTTCTACAATGATGGGAGAAGGCTGAAAATAACAGCTTGCCTTGTGTGTGTGTGCATGGTGGTGTGTGCCCATGGAGGTTGTGTGTATGTGTGTGTGCGCGCGTGCAGTGGCGTATGCACATGCAGGTTTGTCTGTGTGTGTACTGTGGTGTGTGTACAGGCAGCCAATGTGTGTGTGTGCCACAGAGCTCTTAGAGCAAACACAGCCCCTGGTCACACAGGACAGAGTTGCCCCCCCACTGATACCTCTGATGAGTTGCAGGTGGCTCAGGCTGGGCCCTGAATGAAAAGCTTTGGGCGGAATCTTGTAAGGAGTTCAGAGCTGGGGAGGGCTGGCAGCAGCGGAGGGCAGGGTGTGTGCCTCTGGAGGTTCCCCGCGCCCCAGCTTGCTCCGGCTTTTTTGTGCATGAGGCGATGGTCCCGCCAGGACGTGAGGAGGGCCTGCTCCCGCCACCTTGCCTGACACTGTAGAGCGGGGACAGCGGCTGCGTCTTCCGCACCAGTCTTCAGCACGGAGTCATTCGGCAGTATCCCGTGCACGTTGCCTCTTCGCGGTATCTGAAGTCTCTGACTAAGAACTACGTGCCGGCCAGGTTCTCCGACAGGACCGGCCAGGCTGCTACCAGTAGAACCCAGCTGGGCAGGTAGCGCTGTGGGATAATTTGTTTGAAGATTCTATACTCAGACTTTTTTTTTTCTAAGATTTGTTTATTTGAAAGGCAGAGTTACAGAGAGGCAGAGGCAGAGAGAGAGAGAGAAAGGTTTTCCATCTGCCGGTTCATTCCTCAGATGGCTGCAACGGCTGGAGCTTCACTGATCCGAAGCCAGGAGCCAGGAGCTTCATCTTGGTCTCCCACATGGGTGCAGGGCCCCAAGGACGTGGGCCATCTTCTACTGCTTTCCCAGACCATAGCAGAGAGCTGGATGGGAAGTAGAGCAGCCAGGACTGAACCGACGCCCAATGTTGGTTGCTGGTACTGCAGGTGGTAGCTTTACCCACTATGTCACAGCACTGACCCTGTATACTCAGACTTTTTTGAAAGGTGGATTGAAAAGAGGGGGCTGGGTTTCATTCCGAAGATGGTAATTCCAAGGATCTCTTTTTTTGGAGCTAGACTTTCTGTGATGTGGAGATGGGGAAAGAAGGAAACTTGTTTCCTGTCTGTTTTCGGGGTGGATATCTCAGAGGCATAAGATGCTAGCAGTATCTCAAATTGGTATTCCAGGTGTCTCTAAAAATCCAAAGTTTCCCTTCACTATGAACAACCTGAGCATGGGCGTCCTTTCACTCCGGGTTTACCAAGTGGCCGGTGGTCTTGACTGTGGGCTCCACAGCACATGCAGAGCAGAGGCCCAGCTGGCCGATCCACCTGCCTTTCCCAGATGGAGCTGAAAGGGGCTTCCCCTCAGGGGTGGGCAGCCCTGAGAACATCAGGCTGGGCTGCGTGGGCCCATGGGATGCCAAGGACCACTCACGACCTGGCATTGCTCTTGTCTTTCTGTAGCTGCAGCATATGCAAGAAGAAGCAGAACAGACACTTCATTGTTCCGGCTTCTCGCTTCAAGCTCCTGAAGGTTAGTGCATCCCAGTGGGGCTGCGTGAAGACCCCGTTTATGAGCGTTTGTGAACCCCCTGCTCCCAGCACACCCCCACCCCTCGGAGAGCCTTTTGAGGGCTTTAGTTTTTCTTTTTTACCCCAGTTTTATGTTTACATTTAGAAGGTTGTATTATTTATTTTTCCTAAATACTTAATCTTTCTCTTAAAATTTTTTGCTTATTTGGGAGACAGAGAACATTCTCCCATCCTCGTTTGGTTCACTCCCCAAATATCGGCAATAGCCAAGGCTTGGCCAGGCCAAAGCTAGGGAGCCAGGAAGTCAATCCAGGTCTCCCATGTGGGTGGCAGGGACCCAACCACTTGAGCCATGACTGCTGCCTCCCAGGGTTCACATTAGCAGGAAGCTGGAGTCAGGAGCTGGAGCTGGGAGTCAAAAGCGAGCACTCTGGTGTGGATGTGGGCTTCTTAATCGCTGGGCGAAACGCCAGCCCCAAGGTTATGTTATATTATTCTCTTTACTTTTCGGAGGCAGGGTAGTGCCAGGTTCTAAAGACTCACTTGGCCTGCTGTGTGCAGAACGGATTTTAAGGAGCCTACAGGGAGGCAGGAGGGGCTGAGGGTAAGCCAGGCAAGAGCCAGCGGGAGCTTGGATTAGGGTGGTGGGAAATAGATGACCAGGAGATGTCTCAGCACAGTGGTTCTCAGACCTGCGTGTGTGCACACTCACAGGAGGGTGTGTTAAAGCAGTTATGGGGCCCCACGCCTGATTCAGTTATCTGCCATGGAGCCCAGGGGTTTACAGTTCTTAGAACTTCCCAGATGGTGTTGGTGCTGCTGATGTGGGACCACACTTTTGAAAAACATTGTTTTAGAGGCCAGATAACTGGAACTATAGAACAGATTGATGTTAAAGATGAGGAAAAGACCATGCCAGCATCATGGCACAGAGGGCTAAAACCACCACTTGTGAGGCCAGCATCCCTTAGAGGTGGCTGCTCCACTTCAGATCCAGCTTCCTGCTAAATGTGCTTGGGAAGGCAGCAGAAGGTGGATCAAGAGCTTGGGCTCCTGCAGCCACGTGAGAGACCCAGCCCTGGCTGTTGCAGCCATTTGGGGAGTGAACCAGCAGGTAGAAGATCTCTTGTTGTGTGTCTTTCCCTCTCTCTGTAACTCTGCCTTTCAAATAAATAATAAATATATTTTTAAAAAGCTGAAGAGGGGCCAGTGCTGTGGTGCAGTGGGTTAAAGCCCAGGCCTAAAGCACTGGCATCCCATGTGAGTGTCAGCATCATATGGGCACCAGTTTGAGTCCTGGCTGCTCCACTTCCCAACCAGCTCTCTGCTATGGCCTGGGAGAGCAGCAGAAGATGGCCCAAGTTCTTGGGCCACTGCACCTGCAAGGAAACCTGGAAGAAGCTCCTGGCTCCTGGCTCCATATCGGCTCTGCTCCTGCTGTTCAGCCATTTGGAGAGTAAATCAACAGATGGAGACCTCTTTCTCTCTCTGTCTCTAACTCTTCTGTAACTCTATCAAGTAAATAAAATAAATTTTTTTGGGAAAAAAATCTTTGGAAATAAGGAGAAAGGAGTCGATGTGACATCCCACATATTAGGCCTGAGGGCTTAGGTAAATGTGGACACCAGGTCCCATGGGAGAAACCACTGTGGGGCAGAAGGGAACAGTGCTGGAATCGAGAGTTCTGCTTTGAAAAAGTTCAAGGTGTCTTTTGAACATTCACGTAGAGATAGGAAATGGGCAGCTGGACACATAAGTCGGGAGTTCTGGAGGGAGAGCAGAGCTGGAGTTGCTGGCTGGGCAGTGGGAGTTATTGATGTTGAAAGGAATTTTTTTTTTAATTTTTATTTTATTTTATTTTATTTTTTTTTTTATTTTTGACAGGCAGAGTGGACAGTGAGAGAGATAGAGAGACAGAGAGAAAGGTCTTCCTTTTTGCTGTTGGTTCACCCTACAATGGCCGCCGCGGCCAGCGCGCTGCAGCCGGCGCACCGCGCTGATCCGATGGCAGGAGCCAGGTACTTCTCCTGGTCTCCCATGGGGTGCAGAGCCCAAGCACTTGGGCCATCCTCCACTGCACTCCCTGGCCACAGCAGAGAGCTGGCCTGGAAGAGGAGCAACCGGGACAAAATCCGGCGCCCCGACCGGGACTAGAACCCGGTGTGCCGGCGCCGCAAGGCGGAGGATTAGCCTAGTGAGCCACGGCGCCGGCCCTGAAAGGAATATTTTTTATATGAAGCACAGGGTTCTATGGGGGCTTTTTTTTTTTTTTTAAATCCTAAGAATTATTTTATTTGGAAGAGTGATAGGGAGAGATCTTCCATCTGCTGGTTCACTTCCCAAATGACTGTAATGGCTGTGGCTTGTCCAGGGCAAAGCCAGGAGCCTGGATTCCCATCCAGGTCTCCCACATGGGTGGCAGGGGCCCAAGGACTTGGCGCCATCCTCCGCTGCCTTTCCCAGGGGCGTTTGTAGGGAGCTGGATCAGAAATGGAGGAGCTAGGACTTGAACTGGTGTCCATATGGGATGTCGCCATCGCAGGCAGCAGCTTAACCCCCTGTACCACAATGCAGGGTCTCTGTGAGGGCCTTTCTCTCCTGCTGGCTGGGGAAGAAGTGTGAAGAAGTAAGACAGTGACAAGAAGCCTCCACCCCCATCCTGCAGCCACCCAGTTTCTCCTCCTGAGGGTGAACTGCTGTTTGATGGACACCTCTTTAGAGACGTGTGTGCATTTAGAAGCACCTACAGATAATGTGCTTTAGAAAAAAAGTTGGCTGGCGCCGCGGCTTAATAGGCTAATCTTCCGCCTTGCGGCGCCAGCACACCGGGTTCTAGTCCCGGTCGGGGCGCCGGATTCTGTCCCGGTTGCCCCTCTTCCAGGCCAGCTCTCTGCTGTGGCCAGGGTGTGCAGTGGAGGATGGCCCAAGTGCTTGGGCCCTGCACCCCATGGGAGACCAGGAGAAGCACCTGGCTCCTGCCATCAGATCAGCGCGGTGCACTGGCTGCAGCACGCCAGCTGCGGCGGCCATTGGAGGGTGAACCAACGGCAAAGGAAGACCTTTCTATCTGTCTCTCTTTCTCACTGTCCACTCTGCCTGTCAAAAAAGAAAAAGAAAAAACAAAAGTACTAGCAGGCTATACATGTTGTTTTATACTTTGTGCTTTTTTGTTTGTTTTTATGACCTTGGAGATTATTTTGTATATGTAGAGCTACTTTTTTTTTTTTTTTTTTTCAAGCAGAGTTAGAGAGAGTTATAGACAGTGAGAGAGAGACAGAGAGAAAGGTCTTTCTTCCGTTAGTTCATTCTCCTAATGGCCACCTTAGCTGGTGCTGCGCCAATTCAAAGCCAGGAGCCGGGTGCTTCCTCCACCCCCTCCCCAGTCTCCCATGCGGGCACAGGGACCCAAGCACCGGGGCCATCCTCCTCTGCCCTCCCAGGCCACAGCAGAGAGCCAGACTGGAAGAGGAACAACCAGGACTAGTACCTGGTGCCCCAGTCGGGACTAGAACCCGGGGTACGGGCACCACAGGCGGAGGATTAGCCAAGTGAGCCACAGCGCCGGCCAGAGCTACTTCATGTTTTTGAAAAGTTGGAGAGAAGATGTAGAATGTTCCATTTTGTGCCTGTCCATAATTGATTGTACCTTCTAACCTCTCTGGATGAACTGTTCTCAGTTTCTCCAGCCTTCCTAGGCAGTGCTGTAATAATCGGTATCCTTAAGTCACTGGAGACATGGAATTTATGGATAAGTTTCTAGAAGTGGAATTCTGTTTGAAAGGATACGTATGCTTGGAAATGGTGGTCAATGTCGCTAAATCTGACTAATTCGTAGCCCTGTGACTGAAAGCCGAGAGTGCTGTACCTTGCCAGCCAACTTTGGTGTCATGATTTTTTTCACCTGCCAGTGAAGAGCGTCGCTTCCTGGGTCAGAGAGAGACTTGTTTTCCTCGTGTCCTAACTGTCCCCTTCGTGCCCTCTGCCGGTTTCCCGATTGTTTTCTCCACTGGGGAACTTGGCCTCTGTGATGTCGGGCAGATGTCTCATGCTAGCCTGTCCTCAGTAGAGGAGCTCCGGTGCAGTGAACGGTTTCCTTAAGACCTTGGGCAGCGGGGTCTGGGGACGTGGAGAGCCAGTCACTGGGGAAAGCTGTCCTCTGTGCAGGCCCTGGGAGGTGAGCACCTTCACTCCCTGACACTAGCACGGCAGCCTGTCTGCCCTGGACCACAGAGGTTTGAGGCCGGGCTGTTCTCTGTGTGGTTGGCCTGAGAGGAGGTGTGACTGCTGGGTCTCCAGGAAGTGTAGATGGGCCCCTGTCCCCAGGAGGCTTCTGGTCTTTTGTGCGAGTTAGGATTATGTTTAGGAGTTAGATTATGTCCTCATAATCCTGAGAAGAGGCTGCCCCCTTAATCCTTTCAAAAGACTTGTATTTTTTTTTAAAGGTTTATTTATTTATTTGAAAGACAGAGTTACAGAGAGAGATAGACAGAGAGATAGTCTTCCATCCGCTGCTTCACTCCCCAGAGGGCCACAACAGCCAGAGCTGAGCCAATCCAAAGCCAGGAGCCAGGAGCTTCCTCCAGGCTGCCCATGCGGGTACAGGGGCCCACGGACTTGGGCCATCTTCTACTGCTTTCCCAAGCCATAGCAGAGAGCTGGATTGGAAGTGGAGCAGCTGGGACTAGAACCAGTGCCCATTTGGGATGCCAGTGCTCCAGGCCAGGGCGTTAACCCGCTGCGCCACAGCGCCGGCCCCTCAAAAGACTTTTTTTTTAATAACATGAAAAACAATCTCATAAAAAGAGAACACCTGGGGGCTGGTGGTGTAGTGCAGTGGGTTAAGCTGCCTCTTGGGACACCTGCATCCCGTATCGGAGCCTGGTGCTCAACTTCCCATCCAGCTTCCTGCTGACGTGCCTGGGAAGGCAGCAGGGGATGGCTCCAGTGCTTGGGGCCCTGCTGCACCACGTGGGAGACCCAGATGGAGTTCCTGGCTCAGTCCTGGCCGCCGTTGCAGCCATTTGAGGAGTGAACCAGAAGATGGAAGATCTGTCTCTCTCTCCCCTTCTTCTTTCCATGTAAATCTTTGGGGGAGAGGCAGGGGGAAAGAACACCTGTTGTCTGTTTTTGCCTAGGGAGCTGACAGTATAACCACTTATACGTTCAATACGCACAAAGCCCAGCACACCTTCTGCAAGAAGTGTGGCGTCCAGAGCTTCTACACACCCCGCTCCAACCCCGGGGGTTTTGGTGAGTAAGCAGGAGGGCCTGTGAGTCCGGAGGGCGCAGAGAGGCCGGGCTGCTCGGCTTCCGCGCGCCGGCTGGGCAGTTAGGCATGGGTGTGTCTGGCGAAAACCTTGCTCACACGTGTGTGGGAAGAAGGGGGCTGTTCAGCAGAGCTGTTTCCCGATGACGGAATGTGGGGCAGGCGTTTGGCCTAGCTGTTAAGATGCTGCTGGGGAGTGCCTAGGTTGGATGCCCGGCTCTGGCTCCTGACTCAAGTATTCTGTTCATGCAGACTCTGGGAGGCCTGGTGATGGCTCAGGTAACTGGGGTTCCTACCACCCCCGGGGAAACCTGCGTGCAGCTCCCAACTTTGGCCCCAGGCCCAGCCTCAGCTGTTGTGGGCATTGAGGAGTGCATGCTGACAGAATGGGTGGGGCTCTCTTTGTCTTCCTCTGTGTGTGTGTGTGTGTGTCTTGTCCGTCTGCCTCTCAAACTAAAAAAAGAAAAATAGAAACCTTTTTTAAAGAAAAATTGCAGGGGGCCAGTGCTGTGGCTCACTTGGTTAATCCTCCGCCTGCGGCGCTGGCATCCCATATGGGTGCCGGGTTCTAGTTCCGGTTGCCCCTCTTCCAGGCCAGCTCTCTGCTGTGGCCTGGGAGCGCAGTGGAGAATGGCCCAAGTGCTTGGGCTCTGCACCCGCATGGGAGACCAGGAGGAAGCACCTGGCTCCTGGCTTCAGATCGGCGCAGTGCCTTCCATAGTGGCCATTTTGGGGGGTGAACCAACGGAAGGAAGACCTTTCTCTCTGTCTCTCTCTCTCTCACTGTCTAACTGTATCTGTCAAATAAAAAAAAAAAAAAAAAATTGCAGGGCCCAGAATCGTGGCACAGCACATTTGGCTGCCATGCTTCTGATCTGATCTAGCGCCCGGCAAGGCAGCAAATGATGGCTCTGCCAGCGAGTGAGAGGTCCGGATGGAGTTTCTAGCTTTGACATGGCCCAGCCCTAGCCTCTGCGGCCATTTGGGGAGTAAACCAGCAGGTGAAAGATCTTTCTTTCTCTCTGTCTTATCTTTCCTCTCTCTCTCTCTCTGTGTCACTCTGCTTTCAAATGCAATAAAATAAAATCAAGTAGCGAACAGAATGTGGCACAGGTGTTTGTGTCAGTGATAAAGATGCCTCTTAGAATGCCCATATCCCATATCAGAGTGCCTGGGATTGAGCGCTCTGTTTCCAGTCCGGCTTCCTGCCCACCCTGGAAAGCAGGGGAGCAGCAAGTGATGGCTCAAGTTCTTGGCTCCTTGCCACTCACATGGGAGACCCGGATGGAATCCAGGGCTCTTGGCTTTGGCCTGGCTCAGCCCTGGCTCTTGTGGGTATACGCGGAGTAAAGTAGCAGATAGAAGATCTCTTTGTGTGTCTGTCTCTCTCCCTTTCCCTCTGTTACTCCACCTTTCAAATAAAAAGTACATAAATAAATAAAACTTTAAAAAAAATAGTAGACGTGAGACTGGCTCTGGTCAGATCTGCTCGACCCCATACGGTAAAGTGTGTGCGCGAGTCCTGCCAGGTCGTGGTTCTTGTTCACAGGTGTTGCCAGACCTATGTACTCATCGCAGGCGACCAAGGGTTGAGAGACGGGTGGGGTGATGGGGCCATGGGGCAGGGCAGGCCACTTGAGTAGGGGCAGGGGTTAAGGGAGTGAAGGAAGCAAGAAGGAGCAGCGTTGCTAATGCCATTTGTTTAAAATAAAAAAAAAAAATTGACCAGTTCAGAAAACGAGGAGGGGACCGAAACTCCTCTTCAGGTCCTGCGTGGGTCTGGGGGAGGAGTCGAACCAGTGCTTCCAGCATTGTTGGGAGTGATGTCAGTTGCAGCGTGAACAGGGCTTGAAGATGTCCCTGAGGACTGGGGACAGCACAGCCGGGTCCTGACGTCACCCTGGCCCTACCCGCCCCTTTTCCCCAGTAGCTCCTGTGGGTTCCTCGGCTGTCACCTGGTGCCTCCTGCCTACCTCGCGGGACAGGAAGGGGCTTTGGAAAGCACAGACAGGGAGGCGTGACCTGGTCACAGGCGGCCTGTGGGTTCCTCAGGGTGCCAGTCAGGGATTGACCGGGCTGGGCTTGGGCCTTTCCACTACCTTAAAGCCGCTCGGTACGGGACACTGTCCAGCCGTGGCCATCTCATGCAAGGTGTCTGATCCCTGTCTGGGGACTGAGGAGCGGGAGCCAGTGGGCTGAGGTCGGCACAGCAGTCAGGGCCTCCCTAGGGCGGTCCTGTCACATGACGTCATAGGCTGTGGCAGGCCACTCGGGAAGCCTGTGGGTGGGGGTTGGGCCGAGAGGCAGTGCAGTATGTGGTGTCACCCCGCTGTGTGCTGCTTCCCCTTAGGAATCGCCCCGCACTGCCTGGATGAGGGCACCGTGCGGAGCGTGGTCACGGAGGAGTTCAACGGCAGCGACTGGGAGAAGGCCATGAAGGAGCACAAGACCATCAAGAACATGTCCAAAGAGTGAGCTGCTCCTCTGCCTCCCGGCGGGGAGGGCTGCGCGGGGCCGGCAGCTCGTGGTCCCCGTGGCGCCTCGGGGGTGCCCCGACGTGGCGGGCCTGGGATGCTGGCCCTGCTGGCCACCGCCACCCCCGTCACTGCACTTGGCTCCAGCTACCGGTTTCTTTAGGCAGCTCTTTCCCTTCTTCAGCCTGGATTTTGACGTAGGCTAGTTGACATTCTTCCTTTTTCCCCCCAACTTTTGTGTGATCTTTTAGAAAATAAATATTTTTAACATCAAAGCTGTTGCTGTGGGTCTTCTTTCCCTCTTTGATCGTGCCTCTGGGGCCAGTCAGCTAAGAGCAGGCACTTGCTGAGCACTGCCAAGGTGCTTGCAACCGAATTGGGAAGAACAGGTGAGCAAGCAGATTAAAAGAAAAAGTCGGGCCAGCCTGTGGCCTGGTGGAGTAAGCTGCTGCTTATGCACCAGCCTCCCGTCTCAGCGCTGACTTGAGCCCTGGCTGCTCCTCTTCCTAGCCAGCTCCCTGCTGAGGCACCTGGAAGGGCAGCAGAAGACAATCCGAGTGCTTGGGCCCCTGCCACCATAGCAGAGGCCCCGTTGTAGCTCCTGGCTCCTGGCTCTGGCCTGGCCCAGACCTGGATGTTGTAGCCATTGGGGGAATGAACCAGCAGCTGAAAGATCTCTGTCTCTCTCTGTCACTTTGCCTTTCAAATAAATACATTTTTTTAAATAAAAAATTGGGGGGCCGGCACTGTGGTGCACTGGGTTAATGCCCTGGCCTGAAGCACAGGCATCCCATATGGGTGCCGGTTCGAGACCCAGCTGTTCCACTTCCCATCCAGCTCTCTGCTATGGCCTGGGAAAGCAGTAGAGGATGGGCCAAGTCCTTGGGCCCCTGCACCCGCGAGGGAGACCCAGAAGGAGCTCCTGGCTCCTGGCTTCGGATCGGCTCAGCTCTGGCTGTTGTGGCCAATTGAGGAGTGAACCAACCTCTCTCTCTGCCTCTCCTCTCTTCTCTCTTTGTGTAACTCTGTCTTTCAAATAAATAAATAAATCTTAAAAAAAAAAAAAAAAAAGTTGGGGCCAGCACTGTGGCATAGTGGATAAAGCTACTGACTGAAGTGTATGGATGCCGTTTCAAATCCTGGCTGCTCCACTTCCGATCCGGCTCTCTGCTGTGGCCTGGGAAAGCAGTAGAAGATGGCTTGGCCGGCGCTGTGGCTCAATAGGCTAATCCTCCGCCTTGCGGCGCCAGCACACCAGGTTCTAGTCCCGGTTGGGGCGCCAGATTCTGTCCCAGTTGCCCCTCTTCCAGGCCAGCTCTCTGCTGTGGCCCAGGAGTGCAGTGGAGGATGGCCCAAGTGCTAGCACCTGGGCTCCTGGCTGAGACCAGGAGAAGCACCTGGCTCCTGGCTTCGGATCAGCTGACTCTCTCTCTCTCTCTCTCTGCTCTGCCAGTAAAAAAAAAAAAAAACTCACTAGGCTAATCCTCCGCCTTGCGGCGCCGGCACACCGGGTTCTAGTCCCGGTCGGGGCACCAGATTCTGTCCCGGTTGCCCCTCTTCCAGGCCAGCTCTCTGCTGTGGCCAGGGAGTGCAGTGGAAGATGGCCCAAGTCCTTGGGCCCTGCACCCCATGGGAGACCAGGATAAGTACCTGGCTCCTGCCATCGGATCAGTGCGGTGTGCCTGCCACGGTGCGCCGGCCGCGGTGGCCATTGGAGGGTGAACAAACGGCAACGGAAGACCTTTCTCTCTGTCTCTCTCACTGTCCACTCTGCCTGTACAAAAATAAATAAATAAATAAATAAATAAATAAATAAATAAATAAAAAAGATGATGGCCTAAGTCCTTGGGCCCCTGCACCTGTGTGGGAGACCTGGAAGAAGCTCCTGGCTCCTGACTTTGGGTCAGTGCAGCTCCAGCCATTGTGGCCATTCAGGGAGTAAACCTCTCTCTCTGCCTCTGCCTCTTAACTCTGCCTTTCAAACAAGTAAATAAATCATAAATAAATAAAAGATCGTGAATGGTTATGGTCCCTGTGGATCGGGAGGCGTTTAGAGGAGAAAGGGCACTGATTAGCAAAGGGATAATTGAGGGGTGGGCTGTGTCAGGGGTTTTTGTAAGGCACGCTGCCCTCAGATTTCTTCCTTATACATCTGACAAAATGTATCACGTGGCTACTGTGAAGTGCACAGTCCAGCAGTGCTCTGAGCGTGTTCTCAGCATGGTGCAGCCATGACCACGACGCATCCCCACGGCTCTGCTGCTTGCAAAGCTGAGGCTCTGCACCCATGTGACGACAGCTTGGAGCCTGCTGAGAGGAAGCCAGCCGTCTCCTTGGCTCCTTCCTCCCCAACTGCACGTTTCAGGCAGGAAAGTGTTCCTAAAGCATTCATTACAAATGCTGCAGACGTGTGTAGGGGCCAATAGTCTATGTAACCCCTGCTTTAGGAAGTTTAGTCGTGGAGTGATAGACAAGGAAAACAAGGAGAGGAACTAAAGTGGTCAGTTTTCATGATTTGCTTGGCAGTCGTTGGGTGGTCACTGCCATGGCAGAGTGGCTGACGGCCTGTGGCTGCAGGTTCATGCTAAGGTTGGAAGGGACTGGGCAACCCCCAGGAAATAGGTTTTCAGGGCCAGAGTCAAGGTTTTGTTTTGTTGTTGTTGTTGTTGTTTTTAGATTTATTTAAGAGTTACACAGAGAGAGGGAGAGAGAGGTCTTCCATTCAATGGTTCATTCCTCAAATGGCCACAATGGCCCCCGTGCTGGGCCAGGCCAAAGCCAGGAGCCTGGAACTCCATCTGGGTCTCCCTCTTGGGTGGCAGGGGCCCCAGCATTTGGGCCATCTTTGCTGCTTTCCCAGGCACATTAGCAGGGAGCTGGATCAAAGGTGAAGCAGCCAGGACTCACACTGGCAGTGCACTATGGGATACTGGCATTTCAGGCAGCAGCTCAAGTCACCGCACAATGCTGGCTCCCAATATGGGTGTAATTTAATAATTCTTTTTCTATAGAAATGATGCCCCCAGTTTTCTGCTATTACATAAGCTGTTAGCCAATGAATATCCTTTTACATACCTCATGCATATCTATCATTTGAGAAGTGATTTAATGTACGCCACAGCACTGGCCTGTTTTAAATCCTTACACTTTATAATGTACTTTAAACAAACTGATAGAATAACCCCCAACCCCCAATATGAGGCATCTTCAAAAAGTTCATGAAAATGTGTATTTATGAGAAAACTACATGGATTTCAGAAAAATTTTTTGGTTAAGATTTATGTATTCAAAAAGCAGAGTCACAGAGAGAAAAGGAGAGACAGAGTGAGAAAGAGATTTCTACCTGCTGGCTCACTCCAGGTACTAGCAACGGTTGGACCTAAGCCAGGTAGAAGCCAGGAACTCCATCCAGGTCTGCCCGGGGGGTGGCAGGAACCCTGGTGCGTGGGCCATCGTTCACTGCCTCCCAGTCACATAAGCAGGAAGATGCATCAGAAGTGTGGAGTAGCCCGGACTTGAACCAGGTACTCCAGCGAGGGATGTGGGCATTCCAGGCTAGGGCTTAATCCACTGTGCCACCATGCCCACCCCCAGAATGCTTTGTACCAAAAATAAACTTAGCCTTCTATTCCATTTTTCCAAACACAGTTTGAAGAGTCTTTGTGTTACTCTTTGTTGTGCACTTTGGCCTCTAGATAACTGTTAGACTTTATCAAGTGCCATATAAAAACCATACTTGAACTTTGACCGCAATTGCATTGCATCTGTCAATGAATGCCGGGTGAGTAGCCTTCCTTATGTCTCTCAGTTTTATCATCTGGGGAAGTGGCACATCTCACCCCTTGGTTCTTTTATGCCCTGAACTCAAATCCCTTTATGTTTTTTCTCTGTATAGAAGCATTATAAATGGTACATTTTGTGGTAGGTATGTCCCTAGCTGTCTTATTTTTTTATGGTTATGACTGGGATCTCTTAGCTGTTTTTAGTTTGTCATGGGTTATTGTTGGTGGAGACAAATGCTATCATTCTTGGAATGGGAAACTTGTATTAGGCTCTTGGTGGGTTTCCAGTGACTTTTTTTTACTTTTTTTTTTTTTTAAAGATTTATTTATTTATTTGAAAGGCGAAGTTCTAGAGAGAGAGAGAGGAAGAGACAGGGAGAAAGAAACCTCCCATCTTCTGGTTCACTCCCGGAATGGCCAGGACTGGACCAGGCCATCGGCCAAGAGCCTGGAACTCCATCCGGGATGGTCTCCCACGAGGATGGCAGGGGCCCATGCACTCGGGCTACCTTCTTATTAGCAGGGAGCTGGATTGGAAGCGGAGGAGCAGCTGGGGCTCCAACCAGCACTCATACCTGCTATGCGGGTATTGCATGTGGCAGCTTAAGCCAGGGGTGCCACCACACCAGCCTGCAGTGCCTTTCTAAGCAAATCTATTGAACATGGCCCTAGAAGTGAGGTCCCTAGCCAAAGTCAGAAACTGCTGATGGACCCATGACCGGGAAATGCCCTACCAGGAGCCTCCTGGGCCATCCTGTCAGGATTTGGTGTTTTCCTGCTTGACTGGGCTCAGAGGAAAGCACAGGTTTATACCAGCCGGTTGAGCTCTAAGGCAGTGTCAGCCACCACGGGTGGTGGGTGGCCCAGCGCCCTTGCAGGGAGTCCTGGACTGGAGAGCAAACCAGAGGTGGACCCCTGCAGTGCCCCTTCCCCTTAACGTGTGTCCCCTACCCCACCCCACCCCACCCCGCGCCGCTCCAGGAAATGGGGAGGGTGTTGTTCCAGGGTTGCTTTGTTATCTTCCACATTCATCAAGGAAGGAATCGGTTGTACCAACTGTGACAATGTCCCAAAGTCAGCTCCGGCGGACATTCCTTGGCGGGAATCCAAGCACCGGGTGGCCAGACTCTGCTCCCTTTCCTGAAATAAACTTCCACTTGGTTAGCTGGAGGTTCAGGAGCCATAGAAAGCTCAGGGAGGATCCGCTCAGCCCTGTCCTCCCGCAGTTGCCTGTCTGGGGCAGGAAGGGGAGTTTGAGTAGACGTCGCCCTGGCTGCGGGCCGGCTCCTGCACCCAATTCCTGGAGTAGGCGTTTATAGTTACCTGGGATTTCCACGCAGGCAGCACCCATGTGTGCTGACGTCACCCATTAGCAGGAGAAACAGTGCTTTGGCAATTCTGAGCTCAGAGGGGTCTGATTAACGATTTCTTTAAGATTTTACTTTATTATTTGATTTGAAAGGCAGAGTGACTAAGACACAGAGAGGGAGAGAGAGACAGACCTTCCATCTCTTGGTTCACTCCCCAAATGCCCACAACAGCCAGGCCGGAGCCAGGAGCCAGGAACTCCACCAAGGTCTCCCATGTGGGAGGCAGGGCCGCAAGGCACATTAGCAGGAAGTTGAATTGGAAGCCAATTCAACTACCGGGGGAATGGAACAAGTGCTTGAATGTGGGATGCTGGAATCAGCAGTGGCTTAAGCCACTATGCATGCCACAGCGCCAGCCCCCTCACTAACTCTTCACAGGTGACTAGAATTATTTCCATTATGATGTCACCTCTCCCCAGCTTGGAAAGACCATGTGCCATTCAGCTTTTAATTACCATTAACTTCATTTCCAAAATCAGTATAATATGTGAGCATGGGCAGCAGTCCTACTGGCAGGGAGAAGAGGAGAATGCGTGGTACAAGCAAGGGGCAGCCTTGACCAAGACCTTGACACTCCTTCACTGGTTGACCCTCTGCCAAAGGCCCACAACAGCCAGGGCTGGGCCAGGCTAAAGCCAAGAGCAAGAAACTCCCTCAAGGTTGTTGGTAGGGACTCAAGCACTTGGGCCATCATCTGCTGCCTTCCCAGGCACGCTAACAGGAAGCCAGGTGGTAAGCAGAGCAGCCAGGACATGAACCAGACACTCCCATATGGATGTCTCTCACCACAGCACCTGCCCACATAACTGTGTTTTGTCTTCCTCCCTCTGTGGTCCCAAGAACAGAAACATCCTTGGTTCCAATGGCTCCCTCATCCTGCTCTGTCTGCCCACAGGGTTGGGCTGGTTCACTTTCTGTAGAATTCGCTGACTTTATATGTTCATTTTACACCACCTGACCTTGACACTTCTCATTACTGGAGGATTAGTTTCGTGGACTCCAGGGCAGGGCATCCCTCAGGAAATGTTCAAGGCGATTCATTGGTACGCGGGCAGGACATATCAAAAGTTATCTCCCTCCCAACCCCGTAAAAAAAAGGCCAGTGCTGTGGTGTACATGAGTGGCAGGGGCCCAACTACCTGGGCCATCCCTGCTGCCTCCCAGGGGCTGCATGAACAGGAAGCTGGAATCAGTAGCCAAAGGTGAGTATCAAACCAGGCGCTCTGATAGGGAACCTGGGCTACTGCTAAGCCAAATGCCCCACCTCCACTTTTGAGACTTTTTGACGTGTGGCTTCTGGAAGATTCTTCCATTTTATGTTTCTTCCAGCAGTATTTATGTGTCCACTTTCCCTCCTCTGGAATATTGGTCATTATTATTTATAGAAATCTTTGCAAATTAGGTAAGTGCAAAAGGACGTTTTAATTTCTGTTTCGTTAGTGGTGTGATTTCTTTTTTCACATCCACTGCCGTGTGTGTGTGTGTGTGTGTGTGTGTGTGTGTACGACTGCTCCTTGTCTTCTGCAGGTCTCCTGGAAACCTCTCCCACTGGGGTCCCATCCTGAGCTTCCTCTGGGTAGTGTCACCCATGTGTGCGTGGACTTGCATTTCTGATGGAAACTAATGAAGTGGATTAGTCCATTCTCTCCTCCCTGGTCTTTTGTGGACTTTTTGTGGATTTTCTATCCTGACTTCAGTTTTTCTTTGGGAGATATTTTTCTATCAGGCTTCATCTGTTAGGGAATATTAATACATCTGCAATGTGTTATAACAGCTCAAAAAAAAAGTTCCTGTGAAGCATCTCATTTTCCCTTGGCACTTAGCATTCCCAGCCTGGCATGGTGAGGTCCGCCCCACTGCAAGTGATGTTTGAGTTGTTTTGGTTTTTATGCACAAATTCACCCAGAATGTATTTTTGTTTGTGGTATAAGGTATGGAGCCTTTGCCTTCCTCCAAATACGTGGCAAACCCTCCTGACAACATTTATTGCATGATGTGTCCCCTGAATTAAAATGCCCTCTTTCTGTGCAGTGGCTCCATTTGGGGCTGTTTCAGGATTGTTCTCTGTTGTTCAACATCTCTTTACTCTGTCTCTATCTTACTGTTTTGGCTTTTTTTTTTTAGAAAAGATTTATTTATTTATCTGAAAGTCAGAGTTACACAGAGAGAGGAGAGGCAGAGAGACAGAGAGAGAGGTCTTCCATCCGCTGGTTCACTCCCCAGATGGCTGCAACGGCCGGAGATGCGCCGATCCAAAGCCAGGAGCCAGGAGCTTCTTCCAGGTCTCCCACACAGGTGCAGGGGCCCAAGGACTTGGGCCATCGTCTATTGCTTTCCCAGACCTTAGCAGAGAGCTGGATCAGAAGTGGAGCAGCCAAGACTCGAACTGCCACCCATATGGGATATTGGCACTGCAGGCAAGGGCTTTAACTCACTGTGCCACAGCATCGCCCCTCCATTCCTTTTTATTTTTATTTTTTATTTTTATTTTTTTGACAGGTAGAGTGGACAGTGAGAGAGAGACAGAGTGAAAGGTCTTCCTTTTGCCGTTGGTTCACCCTCCAATGGCCGCTGTGGCCGGCGTGCTGCAGCCGGCACACCGCGCTGATCCGATGGCAGAAGCCAGGTGCTTCTCCTGGTCTCCCATGGGGTGCAGGGCCCAAGCACCTGGGCCATCCTCCACTGCCCTCCCGGGCCACAGCAGAGAGCTGGCCTGGAAGAGGGGCAACCGGGACAGAATCCGGTGCCCCAACTGGGACTAGAACTCGGTGTGCCGGTGCCACAAGGCGGAGGATTAGCCTGTTGAGCCACGGCGCCGGCCCCCCTCCATTCCTTTTTATAGTTGCATAATAAACAAAATGCCAGGGTGAATATTTGCCCCAGCAGTTAAGAGTCCTGTGTCCCATATCAGAGAACATGTTTTGATCCCTGGCTCTGGCTCCTGACTCCAGCTTCCTGTTAATGTTGACCCTGGGAGGCAGTGGTGATGGCCGGAGTAGTTGGGTCCCTGCCACCCACATCAGAGACCTGAAGTGAGTTCCCTGTTCCTGGCTTCTACCCAGCTCAGTCCCAGTTGTTGAAACAGGCATTTGGGGGAAGAATCAGCAGATGGGATCTGCTCTGTCTGTTTCTGTCTCTCTGTTTCTCTGCCTCTCAAATAAAAAGGAAAAAGAAACATTTTTTAAAGGTTTGGGTTCAGCTTGTGCTTTTCTGCAAAACAAAACTACTGAGATTTATTTATTTAATTAATTTATTTTTTTGACAGGCAGAGTGGACAGTGAGAGAGAGAGACAGAGAGAAAGGTCTTCCTTTGCCGTTGGTTCACCTTCCAATGGCCGCCGCGGCCGGCGCACCTCGCTGATCCGATGGCAGGAGCCAGGTGCTTCTCCTGGTCTCCCATGGGGTGCAGGGCCCAAGCACCTGGGCCATCCTCCACTGCACTCCCGGGCCACAGCAGAGAGCTGGCCTGGAAGAGGGGCAACCAGGACAGAATCCGGCGCCCCGACCGGGACTAGAACCCGGTGTGCCGGCGCTGCAGGCGGAGGATTAGCCTAGTGAGCTGCGGCGCCAGCCATTCCTACCTTTTCGACATAGCACTTTTAGATGGCTAGAGTTCTGATGAAGTCTTCTATACCACTGGCTTTATTCTCTCCTGGTTTTCCTTAGGAATTCTCAATAGGAATTGTGGCTGCACCTTGCTTTCTTTCAGCATCTATAAATAACAAGTATGGTTTTCCTTCTTGATTTGTTGATGTTATGGATTATGGTGATGGATTTCTCCAGGTGGAACCATTCTTGCTTATCCTGCTTGGTCATGGAGCACTGATTTTTTTTTTAAAATTCACTACTGGATTCAATTTGCTCGGGTTTTCTCTCACATTTTTGCATCTATATTCACAAATAAAATTGACCGGCGCCGCGGCTCAATAGGCCAATCCTCCGCCTGCGGCGCCGGCACACCGGGTTCTAGTCCCGGTCGGGGCGCCGGATTCTGTCCCGGTTGCCCCTCTTCCGGGCCAGCTCTCTGCTGTGGCCAGGGTGTGCAGTGGAGGATGGCCCAGGTGCTTGGGCCCTGCACCCCATGGGAGACCAGGAGAAGCACCTGGCTCCTGCCTTCGGATCAGCGTGGTGCGCCAGCCCCGGCAGCCATTGGAGGGTGAACCAATGGCAAAGGAAGACCTTTCTCTCTGTCTGTCTCTCTCTCACTGTCCACTCTGCCTGTCAAAAAATAAATAAATAAAAAATAAAAATTGCCCGTGGGTTTCTTTTTCTTATGCTACATCATCTTCTGTTACGTCTAAGAATTAGAGTGCTTCTCTAATTTTCTCATTTTTGTTTATTTTTTAATTTTTTGCCAGGCAGAGTTAGACAGTGAGAGACAGAGACAGAGAGAAAGGTCTTCCTTCCATTGGTTCACTCCCCTAATGGCCGCCTCAGCCAGCGCTGCGCCAATCCGAAGCCAGGAGCCAAGTGCTTCCTCCTGGTCTCCCATGCGGGTGCAGGGCCCAAGCACTTGGGCCATCCTCCACTGCCCTCCTGGGCCACAGCAGAGAGCTGGCCTGGAAGAGGAGCAACTGGGACTAGAACCTGGCACCCATATGGGATGCCGGTGCCGCAGGCGGAGGATTAACTAAGTGAGCCACGGCGTCGGCCACTAATTTTCTGTCTTATGCATAGGCAGCTGTAAACCCATCGAGCCTAGGAACCTTCTAAAACTGTTAACCCGGTTCTAATTACCTTTCACATTTCCTCTGTGGTTACTGGGTCTGTTTTCACCGGGAGAGTAGATGCTCAAGCATATGATCCGGTGTTTTTTTTTTTTTTTTTGACAGGCAGAGTGGACAGTGAGAGAGAGACAGAGAGAAAGGTCTTCCTCTTGCCGTTGGTTCACCCTCCAATGGCCGCCGCGGCCGGCGCGCTGTGCTGATCCGAAGGCAGGAGCCAGGTGCTTCTCCTAGTCACCCATGGGGTGCAGGACCCAAGTATTTGAGCCATCCTCCACTGCACTCCCTGGCCACAGCAGAGAGCTGGCCTGGAAGAGGGGCAACCGGGACAGAATCCGGCGCCCCGACCGGGACTAGAACCCGGTGTGCTGGCGCCGCTAGGTGGAGGATTAGCCTAGTGAGCCGATCCGGTTGTTGATTGGTGCTAATTCTCTGCCATACCTATACTCGCACGTCAGCAGCCCCAGCTGGAATTACTCTGGGGAGATGAGGGTGGGAGATTTGGAAGTGCTTAGTTTAATGACAGCATTCTTCTACTCTGCAAGGACTCAACGGAAGCTGTCCAGTATGCCAACATCAGTCTGTCCAGGGCTCCCAGCCCTCTACAAACCCTGGCTCATCTCCCCTCCCTCCCACTCCTGCCCTGCACGCACGACCCGCTCCGCCACCTTGTCTCCCAGAAGGGCTCTGCAAAGAAAGCAAACAGCCACTGCCACGGGAAACCCGGGTGGGGCAGCGCCACCTACAGGTCTTGGGTGTGCGCGCTTGATGTGGTGTGAATGCATTTGAGATAAGGCAATCCCACCCCATTTATTTCCTCGTGGTTGGTTTGTGTGGGAATCTGATTATTTGCTTAGAAAATCATCCAGTCTTCTAGATTTTTTTTTTTGCCACGGAGTTGTATAAAATCCTGTAATTTTTTTTCAGTATTTCCATTTTTGTGACTATAAAACCATTCTGTTCCCAATAACTACACTTTTTTTTTTTTTTTAATGGTTTTTACTTGTTTGAGGGGCAGGGAGCTCCTGTCCACTGGGTCACTTCCCTCCCCAAGTGGCTGCAGTGGGTCCTGGCTGGTGCTGATATTGGGAGACTGGATCTTAGTCCAGGAACCCAATTACTTGAGCCATCGCCCCTGCCTCCCACGGTCTGCCCTTGACAGGAAACCAGAATCAGGAGGCAGAGCCCAGAATCAAATCTGGGCTCTCTACTATGGGACGTGGACATCGCGACTGCCAAGCCAAACACTCACCCCGTTTTCTCTTTTTTCTTAATCAGATTTGCCATGTGTAGGCTTATTTTATTTTTCAAAGAAAGCTTTTTCTTTCTATTGGTTTCATTTATTTTTATCTTTCATCCTTATTAAATCTCTCTCCTCATTGGCTTCCATTGCTGATTTTCTTAAATTGAATAAGGTAGTTAACTTCTTTACAATATTCTTAATTTTAAAGTTTATTTTAATTTATGAAAGGCAGGGAAACACAGACAGAGACAGTCACAGAGAGATCTACCATCCACTGGTTCACTTCCCAAATGTCCAGGACAGCCGGGTCTCGTCCAGGCCAAAGCCAGGAGCCAGGTTCTCCATTGGGGTTTCCTACATAGGTGGCAGGGCCACCAGCACTCCTAGCTGGGATGTGGGTGTCCCAAGGGGTGACTTAACTCTCTGTGTCACAATGCCTGTCCCTACTGGTGGAACTTCTTCAAAATTCAAAGCTGCCATTTTCCTGAGCCAGCTGAGGTCGTTGGGCCAGGTCACTGCCTGGGCACTGTCTGCTGACCTGGAGGACCTGCTTCTGTGACCCGCGTGCTGCGCTGCCTGCCTGCAGGCAAGGGGCGGGGTGCAAAGTGGAATACGCGTTGTAATAGAGTTTCCACTCGGGAAGGGGATAAGTCGGGTTTCTGCATCGCCACAGTGTCTGCTTATCTACACGGCACAGAAGAAAAGGATTCGCCACCACAGTATCAAAAGAAGTTAACTGGCTGGCGCCGCAGCTCACTAGGCTAATCCTCCGCCTTGTGGCGCCGGCACACCGGGTTCTAGTCCCGGTCGGGGCGCCGGATTCTGTCCCGGTTGCCCCTCTTCCAGTCCAGCTCTCTGCTGTGGCCCGGGAGTGCAGTGGAGGATGGCCCAAGTGCTTGGGCCCTGCACCCCATGGGAGACCAGGAGAAGCACCTGGCTCCTGCCATCTGATCAGCGCAGTGCGCCGGCTGCAGCGGCCATTGGAGGGTGAACCAACGGCAAGAGGAAGACCTTTCTCTCTGTCTCTCTCTCCCACTGTCCACTCTGCCTGTCAAAAAATAAGTTAACTGCCGGCACCGCGGCTCACTAGGCTAATCCTCTGCCTGCAGCGCCGGCACACTGGGTTCTAGTCCCGGTTGGGGCGCTGGATTCTGTCCCAGTTGCCCCTCTTCCTGTCCAGCTCTCTGCTGTGGCCCGGGAGTGCAGTGGAGGATGCCCCAAGTGCTTGGGCCCTGCACCATGGGAGACCAGGAGAAGCACCTGGCTCCTGCCATCTGATCAGCGCAGTGCGCCGGCTGCGGCAGCCATTGGAGGGTGAACCAACGGCAAAGGAAGACCTTTCTCTCTGTCTCTCTCTCTCACTGTCCACTCTGCCTGTCCAATCAATCAATCAATAAAATAAAAAAAGAAGAGTTTAAAAAAAAAAAGTTAACTACATGTGCTTGTTGGGGTGGCGCTGTGGTCTAGCTAGTAAAGCCGCCTAGTAAAGCCGCCTCCTGTGACACCAGCATCCAGTATGGGCGCCAGTTGGTGTCCTGGCTGCTCCGTTTCCCATCCAACTCCCTGCTAATGGCCTAGGAAAAGCAGTGGAAGATGTCCCAAGTACTCGGGTCCCTGCACCCATGCGGGAGACCCAGATGGAGTTCTTGCTCCTGGATTCAGCCTGGCCCAGCCCCGGCTTTTGTGACCATCTGGAGAGTGAACCAGCAGATGGAAAAATCTCTCTCTGTATCTCCCTTTCTCACTATCATCTGCTTTTTACATAAAATATTTTTTAACATTAGAGAACAGAGACCTGGAGCATCTCCACGTTTAATCTGTTTTCAATAATGTTCTGAAGGAGGAGCCGGCGTTGTGGTGTAGCAGGTAAAGCTACTGCCTGTATAGGCACCAGTTTGAGTCCCGGCTGCCCCACTTCCAATCCAGCTCCCTGCTAATGCACCTTGGAGATCATCGGAAGATGGCCCAAGTGCTTGGAGATCTGGACGGCGGAGTTCCAGGCTCCTGGCTTTGGCCTGGCCCAGCAACAGCCATTGCAGCCATTTGGGGAATGAAGCAGCCAATGGAAGATTTCTCTCTTTCTCTCTCTCTCTTATGACTCTGACATTCAAACAAATAAATAAATATTTTTAAAAATGTTTAAAGATTCAAAAAGGTCCAAGCTGTTCAGGATTCGGTGGGCCCCTCTGTTCACGTTACACACGCTGTCCTTTGTCATCCACGGGTCCCTATCTCTCCATGGCCTCTCCTCCTTCACCTTGGGTCTCCTTGAGCTGTGCTTTCAACTCTCTTTCTGCCATGCTTTCCATGCCCCCTCTTTGTTCTATGACAGGAGTATATCGGCTACCTGATACTCCAGTTCACTGATTTGGCCACGGCTGAGCTGCCTTTTTTTTTTTTTTTTTTTTTTATGTCTTGGCCAGTTCTGATGGTTGATCATGGTCATAATCCATTAACTGCCACTTCATGGAGCTCCACCTCCCTGTGAGCCCCCCACCCCCACCCCAAGTGAGGGTTCCGCCTGTGTCACACCTCTGGCAGCTCCTGAGCAAGTGAGAGAGAGAGACAGAGAGAAAGGTCTTCCTTTGCCGTTGGTTCACCCTCCAATGGCCGCCGCGGCCAGCACGCTGATGGCAGGAGCCAGGTACTTATCCTGGTCTCCCATGGGTTGCAGGGCCCAAGCACTTGGGCCATCTTCCACTGCACTCCCTGGCCACAGCAGAGAGCTGGCCTGGAAGAGGGGCAACCGGGACAGAATCCGGTGCCCCGACCGGGACTAGAACCCGGTGTGCCGGCGTCACAAGGCGGAGGATTAGCCTAGTGAGCCACGGCGCCGGCCTGAGCAAGGTTTTTCAGAGCAGTGGCCCAATGTTGAGTGGTGGTACTGGGGGGAGGGAGGACAGCAGTTTCTGCTCCTCTGGGGCAGGGTGAGAACTGGCAGCCTCGGCCTGAGCAGGAGAGGGGGTGCGCCTGGACCCTTCCAAGGGTATACTCAGCGGCTTGCCATCTTTTTCTGCTGGGCGGAAGCAGTGGGGGAGGGACTTCCCTTGCTCTCTCTTTTTTTTCCCATGCTCCTTCAGGGAACTAGGAAAATCTGCTCTGTGCCCCAGGCTTCAGGGTTGCTGGCTAGTATAGCAGGTTGTTAACCACACAGGGCATCTGGCCGAGTAGATGCTCGTGCAGGCTTGTGCCCTGGGGAGGGGGCGTGTCTGTCTGGAGGAAGGGCTGCCTTGGAGAGTGTGCCCAGAGACTCGCTTGTGGCTTGTACATGGGTCCCCAGGGCTGCCTGCCACCTACAAAACTCCTTTCCCACCGAGGCACCAGGAGGGGCTTCCTTCCGCCCTGGGCTGCTGTCGCTCGTCTGTCTCCTGGCACCAGGGAGAACTTCATCCTGGTCCCGTCTTCTTCATAGAACCTTGAAGGTCCCTTGGCCTTGGGTGCGCCCAGTCTCCAAGTGCTTGCCTGGCTGCTGTGACACTCAGAGAAGGTGCATGGATGGGGAGAGGGGTCTGGGAGTTGGTGCTCATGTGACATTGACCAGCAGACACAGTAGTTTGTTTTTAATTTTCCTCCTAGACTTTTTACTTTATTCATTGGAAAAAGGTTGGATTGTACAGTAAGACAAAGGAGAAAAGAAGTCCCAGCTACTCACTACCCAGAAGCAATTATTGATAATTTCGTACCAACAGGTGCTTCCAAAGGTCACAGAAAATGTATTTAAAGGGTGGGTGTCTGGAGAGAGGTAAGGTGCCTGTGTGTGTGTGTGTGTCTCCCACAGCAAGTACTGGAGTATCTGAGTTTGAGGGGGTTTTGACTCCACACCTGGCTCCATACACACCCTGGAAGGCAACAGGTGATGTCGCAAATGGCTGGGTTCCTACCACCCACGAGAGAGGCCTACAGTGTGTTTCCAGCTCCTGGCTTCAGCCCCGCCCATTGTGGGCATCTGGGGAGTGAACCAGAAGACGGCAGCTCTCTGTCTGTCTCTCTACTGCTATCGGTCTCTCTCTGCCCCTCAAATAAACAAGTGGTTAAAAAGATAAGTGTATTTTGGTGCAAAAACAATTTGAAATTTTATATGTGAGGGGGTCTTCTAAAAGTTCATGGAAAATGTGTATCATGAAAAACTATGAATGAGTTCCAAAACTTTTTACACCAAAATAAGTTTATCTTTTAATTCAATTTTCCATAACCCCTTTAAATACCCTCATATGTTTCTTTTAAAAAAATGCTTATTGGGGCCAGTGCTGTGTTGTAGCAAGTAAAGCTGCCACCTGTAGTACTGGCATCCCATATGGGCACTGGTTCAAGTCCTGGCCGCTCCACTTCCGATCCAGCTCTCTGCTATGGCCTGGGAAAGCGGTAGACGATGGCCCAAATCCTTGGGCCCCTGCACCCATGTGGAGACCTGGAGGAAGCTCCTGGCTCCTGATTTTGGATCAGTGCAGCTCCGGCCATTGCTGCCATCTGGGGAGTGAACCAGCAGATGGAAGACCTCTCTCTCTCTCTGCCTCTCTGTAACTCTGCCTTTCAAATAAATACATAAATATTTTTAAAATGCTTATTTATTTTCATCTACGAGAGAGAGAGAGAGAGAGAGATATCTTTCATCCTTTCATCTGCTGCTTCACTCCCCAAAGGCCCTTAATAGCTGAGGCTTGGCCAGGGGCCCAAGAACCTCAGCCGTCATCTGCTTCCTTCCGGGACATATTGTCAGGAAAGTGGATTGGGGAAGCCAAAGCTGTGGTGTAGCAGGTAAAGCTGCTTCCTGCAGTGCCGGCATCCCATATGGGCGCCAGTTTGAGTCTTGGCTGCTCCACTTCTGATCCAGCTCTCTGCTATGGCCCGGGAATGCAATGGAAGATGGCCCAAGTCCTTGGGCCACTGCACTTGTGTGGGAGACCCAGAAGAAGCTCCTGGCTCCTGGTTGGCCCAGCTCCAATTATTGGGATCATCATTTGGGGAGTGAACCAGTGGATAGAAGACCTGACTCTCTCTCTCTCTCTCTCTCTCTCTCTCCCTCTCTTCCTCTCTCCCTCTCTAACTCTGCCTTTCAAATAAATAAATCAATCTTTAAGAAACAAAGTACTTAAAGACTTTTTAAAAAATTCTTTCTGAAAAAAAAAAAAAAGAAGAAGAAGAAGAAAGTGGATTGGAAGCAGAAGTGTTAGGACTTGAACCAGCACTTAGATATGGGATGTGGCCGTCCCAAGCAGTGGCTTAATCAACTGTGCCACTACACCCACACCACCCACATACCTTCTTAAACTCTTAAGATTTGGAAGCCGGCGCTGTGGCACAGAGAATTAATGCCTTGGCCTGAAGTGCCAGCATCCTGTATGGGCGCTGGTTCGAGGCCTAGCTGCTCCTCTTCTGATCCGGCTCTCTGCTATGGCCTGGGAAAGCAGTAGAAGATGGCCCAAGTCCTTGAGCCCCTGCACCCACATGGGAGACCTGGAAGAAGCTCCTGGCTCCTGGCTTCAGATCGGCATAGCTCTGGCTGTTGTGGCCAATTGGGGAGTGAACCAGTAGATGGAAGACCTCTCTCTCTCTCTCTCTCTCTCTGCCTCTCCTCTCTCTGTGTAACTCTGCCTTTCAAATAAATACATAAATCTTTTTAAAAAAATAAACTCTGATTTAAAATTATTTTTTGAATAATATATGCACATGGTACAAAATTAAAAAGGTATAAAAAGTTTCCATTCCACTCCTCTCATCCAATTCCCTTTTTCAGAAATGAGCTGTTACCAAAAAAAAAAAAACCCTAATATGTTTACACACACTCACGTGTGTGTGTGTGTTGCCCCTCACAAATGGTTGCATTTGTTAACAATGTGTATTTTTCACTTATTAATATGCCTTGGAGATCTTTCCATGTCAATGCATTGCATTATTTTTTTAAAAAAAAGTATGGGTGCTGGCGTTGTGGCACAGCATGTTAGCCCACTGCTTGCGACTCTGGCATCCCATACTAGCACGCCGGTTCGAGTCTCAGATGCTCCACTTCCAATCCAGCTCCCTGTTAATGTGCTTGGGAAGGCAGTGGCTGATGGCCCAAGTACTGGGCCCCTGCCACCCATGTAGAAAATCAGGATGGAGCTCTAGGCTCCTGGCTTTGACCTGGTCCAGCCCTGGCTGTTGTGGCCATTTAGAAAATGAACTAGCAGATGGAGGATTCTCTTTCTCTCTGCCTTTCAAATAAATACATACTTTTTAAAAATTGGTTTGTAATGTTATATTTTACTAGTATTCTCACTACTTATTTAACAAATCCTTAATTGATGGACATTTGGACAGGTTCAGCATTTTCCTCTTTTAAATGTGTTTCGATATGTATCTTTTTCATATCACTTATGGCATGTGGAATAAGTCTACAGTGCCAGTTAGTGGAAGAGTATATAATTTGGGGGCAGGCACTGTGGCACAGTGAGTTAAGCTGCTATTTGGGATACTGGAGTCTCGGGCTACTCTGCTTCCAAATCAGCTCCCTGCTGATGTGTCCCTGTGTCCCATGCAGGGCTCCTCCTGGCTCCAGGCTTTGGCCTGGCCCAGACCTCGCTGTTGTTGCCGTCTGGGGAGTAAACCAGCAGATGGAAGCTCTCTCTCTCTCTCTTTCTCTCTCATTCTGTCACTCTGTCTTTCAAACAGATAAATGCACCTTTGAAAAAGAGTATATCATTTTATTAGAGATTGCTGGACTGGCCGCCACACAGGTTGTATCATTTGCATGCCTGTACGTGTACAGCGGGCTGCTGAAGCCACTGGACAGCAGAGTCCGGGTTCTTTGGCCTTCAGACTCGGAGACTGGGGCCAGCAGCCATCTGGGGGGCTCTCGAGCCTTGGCCTTGGATGAGGACTGCATCATCAGCCTATCCAGCTTCCCGGCCTGAGCTGCTGCCAGCTTCCCTAGCTCTCCATCTCGGACATGGCCTTGTGTAACTTTTCAGCCTCTCATGGCTGTGGGCTAATCGAATACAGGTTCTGTGTCTCTGGAGAACCCTACGGATACCAAGGGATGCAGTTACAGCGACAGAAAACGAATTAAGACAGCTGCTTTGGGAACCACGTGAAAATCACATCTGGGAAGTGGTTTTTTTTTTTTTTTTTTTTGGACAGGCAGAGTGGACAGTGAGAGAGAGAGACAGAGAGAAAGTTCTTCCCTTGCCGTTGGTTCACCCTCCAATGGCTGCCGCGGCCGGCGCACTGCACTGATCCGAAGGCAGGAGCCAAGTGCTTATCCTGGTCTCCCATGGGGTGCAGGGCCCAAGCACTCGGGCCATCCTCTGGGAAGTGTTTTTAACGCGTGTCTGCAATCATTTATAATAACAGCAATCTGCCCGGGCTCTGGGCTAGGGCCTTGACATTGACTGTGCCATTGTGCAAAGTGTTCTCCACGAGAACTGGAGGTGGCAGCAGGGTGGCTGTTGTTGCCCCGGGGTTTGTTTTCGGTTCTTCCTGGTTGTTTTTCCCCCAGAGGCAGATGCTGGCACCTGGATGGCAGAGGCCTCCTTTGGTGGAGGTTGCTCCGGCTGGGACCTCCTTTGGCTCAGGGAGGGAGGCCCGCTCCAGGCCAGGCTCTTTGGACTTCCTGGTCTGTTTTCACTCCATTGTTCCTTGGATCTGAATACTGTCCGAGGCTTCAGAGGAAGTGCAGTGTGTTGATCCTGATGTAGCGCGAGAAGAGAAGGTAGAGGCGGCGGAACCAGAGGAGCTGGCTGCGGTGGCAGGACATGGCCCTCTAGGAGAGGCACAGAGCACAGTTATGGGGCAGGTGCACTGCGGCTGGCCCTGAGCCTTCCACACCTAGCCCCCCACCAACACGCATCGTGCCACAGCCTTGTTTGCCTTCTGCCTGTAACCCACGAACCTCTCTGGGTTCCGCCTCCTTCCCAAGTGCTGCTTCCTCCCCTGGGATGACAGCAGATGGTGCTGATGGTAGCCAGGGCGCTCCCTGGGGGATGCCAGGAGGCGTGCAGAGCAGCCTGCACACACCGCCTCAATGGAACAACCAGGCTCAAATCGCTAGCAGGCAGTGAGCTGAAGTCTGAACCCAGAACCATCTGTCTCTAGTGCTTACATTTCTAATCATGTCACTCTGCTCCCTCACGAATCCGACACAAGCACGCTAGAGCACTGTGCCCAGACTCCTCTGAATTAGGAAAGATGGGAAGACACAGTCCTTATTAGAAGAAGATAAAAAAAAAAAAACTAGGGCCAACGCTGTGGCATAGCAGGTAAAGACACTGCTTGCAGTGCTGGCATCCCATATGGATGCTGGTTCAAGTCCCAGCTGCTCCTCTTCCGATCCAGCTCTCTGCTATGGCCTGGGAAAGCAGTAGAAGATGGTCCAAGTCCTTGGGCCTCTGCACCTGTGTAGGAGACCCAGAAGAAGTTCCTGGCTCCTGGCTTCAGATCAGCACAGCTCCAGCCACTGTGGACATTTGGGGAGTGAACCAGCGGATGGAAGACCTCCCTCTCTCTCTCTCTCTCTGCCTCTGCCTCTATGCAATTCTGCCTTTAAAATAAATAAATAAATCTTTAAAAAAAAAAAAAAGATGTTAAAAACTATAGTACAGAGGTGGGTTAGCTCTTCCACCTGGTGGGGAATAATACATAATCTTGTTATTCAGACCTCATATAGTTTGGTTTTTATTATTTATTTATTTATTTATTTATTTATTTTTGGACAGGCAGAGTGGACAGTGAGAGAGAGACAGAAAGAAAGGTCTTCCTTTTGCCGTTGGTTCACCCTCCAGTGGCCGCCGCGGCTGGTGCACTGCAGCTGGCGCACCACGCTGATCCGATGGCAGGAGCCAGGTGCTTCTCCTGGTCTCCCATGGGGTGCAGGGCCCAAGCACTTGGGCCATCCTCTACTGCCCTCCTGGGCCACAGCAGAGAGCTGGCCTGGAAGAGGAGCAACAGGGACAGAATTCGGCGCCCCGACCGGGACTAGAACCAGGGGTGCCGGCGCTGCACAGTTTGGTTTTTAAATAGAGTAGATTACAGCAAGTGATTTAACTAGACAAACATATGTAAACGTTGCAGCCTGCTTTTCTCTAAATGCTGTACTTAGATTACCTGTCTAAGCTGTAACATTGCAAACTTTACTTTTAATATTTATTTATTTGAAAGGGATGGTTAGAGAGAGACAGAGAGAGATCTTCCACCTGCTGGTTCACTCCCCCCAAATGACTGCAATGGCTAGGGCTGGGCTAGGCTGAAGCCAGGAACCAGGAGCCTCATCTGGGTCTCCCACGTGGGTGCAGGGGTCCAAGGACTAAGGCCATCTTCTGCTGCTTTCCCAAGCACATTAGCAGGGAGCTGGATCAGAAGTAGAACAGTCAGGACTCGAATTGGTACCCACATGGGATGCTGGTGTCATAGGCAGCAGCTTTACCTGCTATGCCACAATGCCAGTCCCCTTTGCAAACTTTTTAAACATTTTTTTATTTAAGGCAGAGGGAGAGATAGAGATATCCTGTATCCACTGGTTCACTTCCCAAGTGCCCACAACAGCTGGGGGTGGGTCAGGCCGAAGCCAGGAGTCCCGAGCTCCACCTGGCTCTTATCACCCGCTGCCTCCCAGGGTGCTTTAGCAGGAGCTGAGACTGGAAGAGGAGTCAGGAGTGGAACCCAGGCACTCCAACATGGGATGTGGGTGTCCCACGCAGGGTCTTAACTGCTATGCCAAAGCCTGCCCCCCAGAGCAAACTTTTATGCAAAAAAACTCCTACTTATTGTCAGAACATGTAGAACTCTAATATGCAAGTGTACTTGTGATAAACCAAGTTGTAAATAATAAAGGTGGGGGTGGGCGTTGTGGCGCAGTGCGGTGAGACACCGCTTCAGATGCTGCTCAGCTCCTGAGCCAGCTTCCTGCTACTGCATCTTGGGTGGCAGCAGATGGTGGCTCGAATCCCTGGGTCTCTGCCACCACGTGGGAGACCTGGATGGAATTCCAACTTCCGGGTTTGGCCTGGGCTATGCCTGGGTCTTGCGGCCATTTAAGCCATTTGTGTCACTCTGCCTTTCAAATTAATAAGTAAATCTATCAGATTATTAGGGGCCAGCATTGTGGTGTAGCAGGTTAATCTTCCCTTTGTAATGCCAGCTTCTCATATTGGAGTGCTGATTTGAGTCCTGGTGACTCTACTTTGGATTCAGCTTCCTTCCAGTGTGCCTAGGAAGGCAGAGGAAGACAGCTCAGGTGCTCGAGCCCCTGCCGCCTATGTGGAAGACCCAGATGGAGCTCCGTGCTCCTGGCCAGCCCTGGCTGTTGAGTCCATTTGGGGAGTAAATCAGCAGATGGAAGTTCTCTTTCTCTGTGAACTGAGATTTATTTATTTATTTGAAAGACACAGTTACAGAAAAAGGTAGAGATAGACAGACAGATTGGGGTCTGCTGGTTCACTCCCTAAATGGCCACAATGGCTGGAGCTGTGCTAGTCTGAAGCCAGGAGCCAGGAGCTTCCTCCAGGTCTCCCACATGGGTACAGAGGCCCAAGGACTTGGGCCATCTTCTACTGCTTCCCCAGGCCACTGCAGAGAGCTGCATAGGAAGTGGTGCAGCTGGGACTTGAACCAGCACTCATAGGGGATGCTGGGGCTGCAGGCCAGAGCTTTAACCCACTGCCACAGCGCCAGCCCCAATAAATAAATCTTATACACACACACAGATATATATAAAATGTGACTAGAGGCTCACAGGAACCTAACCCTGTGTTTCCTGTGAACCCAACGGTTCAGCATTCAGCATTCGCTAATTCAATGTCCATGATCACGTTCTAGAATGTATCCAAGTAATGAAAATCAGCTGGATATATGTACAGTCTTTCTGTAAGTTGTGTCTGCAGTCTTTTTCCTTTAATCCTTTCATTTTGAAACTTTTGTTAGGATTTTATGATTTTTGTGTGTGTTTTTTTTTTATAAACAGCATCTAGCTGAATTTTTAAATATTTTGCTAGGAAATATACTGAGCATACAGTTGTCCCTCAGTACTTTCGGGGTATTGGTTCTAGAACCCCTGATGACACTGAAATCTGCAGATACTCAAGATCCCTATATAAAATTGTATAATATTTGCTTAGAACCTATGTATATCCTCCCATTTACTTTATTTTATTTATTGATTTATTCTCATTTTATTTGGAAGGCAGACACACACACACACACACACACACACACACAGATCTTCCGTCTGCTTGTTCTTTCCCCAAATGCCAGCAACAGCCAGGGCCGGGGCAGGCTGAAGCCAGGAGCCTGGCACTCCTTCCAGGTCTCCCAAATGGTGGAAGGGACCCAGGCACTTGAGCCATCACCTGCTGTCACCCAGGATGCTCATCAGCAGGAAGCTGGATCAGAAGTGGAGGAGGCAGGACTGGAATCAGGTGCTCTGATACGGGATGCAGGCATCGTAAACAGAGACTTATCAACCTCTGTGCCAAATGCCTGCCCCTCCCATATACTTTAAATCATCTTGGATTACTTATAATAACTAATACAAGGTAAATGCTAGATAAATAGCTGTTAAACTATTGTTTAGGGATAACTACAAGAAAAAAATCTGTACGTGTTCAGTACAGATGCAGTGGTTTTTGAATGTTTTCTGTCTGAGATTGGTTGGATCCATGGATGTGGTGGACTAGCTATTTAGCCCATTTTTATTTATGAAATAAATAAAGAGGAAGCTCCTGGCTTCTGGCTTCAGCCTGGCCCAGCCTGGCTGTTTCAACCATCTGGGGAGTGAATCAGCAGATGGAAGATCTTTCTTTCTCTGTGTCTCTCCTTGTCTCTCTGTAATTTTGACTTTCAAATAAATAGATAAATCTTAAAAAACATCTTTAAAAAAGAAAGAAAGAAAGAAAGAGGATCCAGCGCTGTGGCATAGTGGGTTAAAGTACTGGCAGTGCCGGCATCCCATATGGGCACCAGTTCCAGTCCCAGGTGCTCCACTTCCAATCCAGCTCTATGCTATGGCCTGGGAAAGCAGTACAAGATGGCCCACGTCCTTGGGCCCCTGCACCCGCATGGGAGACCTGGAAGAAGCTCCTGGCTTCAGAACAGCCTAGCTCCAGCCATTGTGGCAATTTATGGAGTAAACAAGCAAATGGAAGACCTCGCTCTCTCTGCCTCTACCTCTCTCTGTAACTCTGCCTTTCAAATAAATAAATATATCTTAAAAAAAAAGAAGAAGAAGAAAAGCAAGCAAGCAATGGAGAATGACAGATACACAGGCCGCTCCTCTGCTGTTTCACTCCCCAACTGCCCAGAACAACCAGAGCAGGGCCAGGCGGAAGCCAGGAGCCTGAGCTCAAGCTGGATGTCCCATGTGGGTGGCAGGGACCCCAGCACTGGAGCCATCATCAGCTGACGCCATGCCAGCTGACCATTCTCACCAGGGGGGCCTCCCTGGTCCCAGTTTCTCCTCAGTGCCAAGTAGGCTTCTGGTGGTCTGCCCCACTGGCTGTCTCCAGAGGCTCTGGTAGGTCCTGACTCTCCTTAGATTCAACCTGGGACCAGTGCTCCATGTAGAATAGTGGAAAACTCACAAATCAAAATGTTCAATAAGGGGCTGGCATTGTGACATAACGGTTTGTAAAGCTGCTGCCTGGGACGCTGGCATCCTATGCAGGCACGGGTTTGGGTCCCAGCTGTTCCACTTCTGGTCCAGCAGCAGCGAGAGATGGTCTAAGTGCTGGGGCCCCCGTCATGTGGAAGATCCAGATGGAGTTCCTGGATCCTCGCTTTGGCCTGGCGCAGTCTCAGCCATTGCTGCCACTGGGGGAGCGAACCAGTGGATGAAAGTTCTCTCCCTCTCTGCCTGTCCCTCTCTGTCTGTCCCAAAGTCTGTCTTTCAAGAAAATAAAAAGTAGATCTTAAAAAAAAAAGGTTAACTCAGGACAGAGGGTGAGCCCCTGTGGAAGGTGAGGTTTTGAGGAGCTGGGCAGTCTGGGGTATGGAGCTGAGTTGGGGTGCCCGGGGAATTCGCATTCCTCACCTTGGCCCGAGCCACTTCTTCGCCGGTGAGCACGAAGAGGACATCCTGGGGAGCAGACAGAGACCAGGGCAGGTCCAGGATGGCGAGATACTTGCGCAGCACATTCACAGACTGAAGTGTGAGCACAGAGCACCCTGGGGGGAGGGCGCAGGGGGGCGTGAGGGCCTTGCAGCTCCCCTCCCAGCCAGCTTGGCCCGCCCTCCTCACCGTGGCTCCAGGCCGGGCAGGCCAGTGGTGGCAGCGTTGCCAGGTGTTTCTGTGGCACCAAAGCTGCTCTCTGTGCATTGTTCTTGCAGACAGAAAGAGCCAAAGGGCCACAGAAGGGCTGGCTGACCACCCCCTGCCCACTACAGGTGGGCTGAGTTCTGCTGACCTCACGGCCAAGGGGAAAGGCAGTGGCCATGGGAATCTGTGCCCTGGGAGGTGACAGACCCGGCTCCAGCTCTGTCATTCAGGAACTGACAGCCTTGGGAGAGTCCCTCCACCACTCTTGACTCTCAGTTTTTGCATCTGTACAATGGAGCTGATGGTGTGAAGCCTGACTGTCTCACAGGGCTGACAAGAACCAAATGGACCACAGACACCTTGCAAAGAGCTCACAGCTGGGTGAGCCCAGGAGGCCCACGGAGAAAAGGGCACACGCTACTTGTGTTTCCATCCTTTAGATCTTTTTTTTTTTTTTTAAATAAATTTTTTTTTATCTTTTTTTTTTTTTTTTTTTTTTTTTTGACAGGCAGAGTGGACAGTGAGAGAGAGAGACAGAGAGAGAAAGGTCTTCCTTTGCCGTTGGTTCACCCTCCAATGGCCGCCGCTGCAGCCGGCGCACCGCGCTGATCCGATGGCAGGAGCCAGGAGCCAGGTGCTTTTCCTGGTCTCCCATGGGGTGCAGGGCCCAAGCACCTGGGCCATCCTCCACTGCACTCCCTGGCCATAGCAGAGAGCTGGCCTGGAAGAGGGGCAACCGGGACAGAATCCGGCGCCCCGACCGGGACTAGAACCCGGTGTGCCGGCGCCGCAAGGTGGAGGATTAGCCTATTGAGCCACGGCGCCGGCATCCTTTAGATCTTTACACCGCTCCTGTGAGGTAGGTGGGGCTAGAAACTGGCTCAGAGAGGTTGAGTGTGGGCATCCTGAGGTGAAGGGTCAAGGGTCAGGGGTGGGGGGACACCATAGGAATGTATAGGAAAAGGCGCCCAGCTAATTTACAACCTGGCTAACTAACTGGGGGATGGGATATGAGTCTGGAGGCCAGAATGAAAGGATATGGGGGTGGGGATGGGGTGTGAGAAAAACCTGCTCCAGGAGAAAGCTAGACAGGCACAGGGCAAGCACCTGCTGATGGATACAGCCTGGCGGCCCTAGCCTACCCTTGGGTCTGCTTTGCCTGGGGCTGGTCTCTGTGTGTTTGCAAATTTCCCTCTAATAAGCTTCTGGGAGGGAGGCAAAGAGTGGCCTTTGGCAAGAGAGGCCAGCCTTACCTTTAGGCAACTTCCCATTAGAGTGTAGAGCCCTGGAGGAAGGAAGGGACAGGAGTGAGAGGAGGGCCCTGGGAGGAAGGGGCCAGCCCCGCCCCGCCCTGTGGAGTTCCAGATGCTGGGACTGCACGCCTCTGGCTAGAGCGGAAGGGTCCAGGGTGGGCACCCTGCTCACGACCATCAGTCGTCCCTGGCCTGTGAGGCACCCTGGGCCATGCTTTGCCCTTTAGAGATGAAAGTAACTGCTGCCCTGGATCCTGCCTTTAAAGCGTTTCTCTTGGAATTCTGAGTATAGTGGGAGACTATTTTTTTTCATCTTTGTATTTAGTTCGGTGGAGCATGGGGGCATGAAGGGAGACTGTTGAGAAATATTAATTGACTTTTCTTTCCTGATATTTCCTTTCTCTGTTCTGACCTCCTCCACTCCCACCCACCTTCAGACAGTGCAGGCCATTCGTGCTCATTGCCTAGAGAGGAGGGAGCCACTGATGGGAGCCCAAAAAGGGTTTCTAGCAGCTGGAGAATGCAGTGACCTGTCCTGGGGGATGCTGGGAGTTTGAGGTGGTCAGAATACCCAAGGAAGGAGGTAGGCTGGAGGCACACGCCTGGAATCGCACTCACAGCCCCTGGCCACCAAGGGATCTAGACCAGGATGGACTGGGCAGGGAGCTGTGGGTGCCACGGGCTTCTGGCAGGAGGGGAACCAGGGAGAGGCCGAGCTGTGGCCAGAGGCTGGATTGGCACCGGACAAGTCACAACAGCACTTCGCAGAGTGGGACGTAAGGCCCAACGTGACAAAGAAGGTGAAGACAGACGAGGCCTGAAAAGAGTCGAACGGAGCCAGCAGGCGGGAGCTGGGAGGCGAGCGAGGAGAGAACGGTGTTAAAAAAGCAGATGGGCAGGCACACCCGTCAGTTGTTTTGTCTGGAGCCCAGTGGCCAACATCACTGGGGAGAGGACCCGGGAGTGGCGGGCACCTCTCCTAAGGGCAGTGGCCCTAGGCAGTTCTGCCTGCATAAGGTGGTCCCCCGGGGTTCTCTGCTGGGATGAAGCCCCTCTTGCTTTCCCCACTTCAGGGAGACTGCAAGGGGCAAGCCAAGTCCACCTTGGGTGTCCTGGGTGACCCTGCATCTTAGAGAGAGAGAGAGGGAGAGAGAGAGAGAACAGATCTTCCATCCACTGGTTCACTCCCCAGTAGCCAGGCCAAAGCCAGGAGCTAAGAACTCCATACAGGAGACCCGAGCACTTGAGCCATCATTGGCGGCCTGCCAGGGTGCACACTAGCAGGAAGCTGGATTGGAAGTGGAGGTGGGATTCAATCCCAGGCACTCCGATGTGGAAAGGGGGCACCTCGAGTGGTGGTGTAACCTTCAGCGCCACAGCGCTGGCCCCTACTGAGACGTCCTCAGCTTGTCTGCAGCAGACCCAAGCTGATCTTTTCTCTGGATCAGTGCAAACACTTGGTGAAAACCCCACAAGGCTCTGTGTGCATCCAGAATGAGCTGGGGCCGTCTCTCCAGCTCTCTGCGGGGCTTGCTATCCATGCCAGTGGAAGTCCAAGGCCTCAGGGTAACCACATGGATGGGAGGATCACTCCTGGGCTGCCTCAATTTACCCCGATCTTCCTCAAAAACTGTGTATCTGATGTAACCAGGGGCTGCGTCTTTCCTGAATCTGAAAGGACCTCATGCAGCCAGCAACCCCTGTCCTCCTCAGCGGTGGTCTGTCTTTACAGGAGGGGAGAACAGGTGCCCCTCACTCCACAGTCAAGTGCACGGTGAGGGCTGTCTGGAAAGAGGGTATGGGCAGAAATTTCTAGCATCTTCCACTAAGTGTCAGACAATTCAGGGACAAGGCTGGAGGGGCCTTGGGTTGGACTGACCTTGACAGGCATCTGACAGAATAATGGATGGGGAACAGGGCCCCTGGGTTCTGGTACTGCCTCTGCCATGGTTGCGCCTTGAGGCGCTGGGCAAACCACTTGAGGCAGGTGGACTTAATGATCACGGGGGTCATGTCCAGTTCCTCATGGTTCACTGCTCCGGGCTGAGAGCGTTGGATAAATATCAAACCTTAAGAGAAGGTTGTAAAATAGGGCCTTCGCTGCCTGTCGCCCCTCTTCCTCTTCAGTGGCTGGGACAGGCCCAGCAGGGGCTCAGGAGGAGCCCCTCCCTGGAGGACAGGGGACAGGGCCAATGATCTGGATGACCCGAAGTCACTTGCACTGGTTTTACTGGTAAAGTCAAGAAAAGTGCCGTGAGCCCAGCTGGCTGTGAGGACCCGTGAGATTTCACGTCCTGTGCATGTCTCCTCCTGCTGCACAGGGAGAGGGGAGGACGTGCACAAAATCCACAGGGGAAGACGGCAAAATAAGCAAGGGGAAGGGGAGACCACAGACGATGAAGCCAGGCGCGCACTGTTTCTCAGGACTTAACTCCTACAAGTTTTGCTTAGTGCCAAAAGCAAAGAGAGAAATAGAAAATCAGTTATCCTTTTTGTAGTATTCATGGGTTAAAAAAAATGCAGCACTGTGGTGGAGGGCGGTGGGCTGGAGTTTAGCCTAGTGGGTAAGACGCCCTCATCCCGCATCGGAGCACCTGGGTTCCCCAGCTGGCTCTGGCTCCCGACTCCAGCTTCCCGCTAATGCAGCCCCTTGGAGGCAGCTGGTGATGGCTCAAGTGACTGGGTCCCCACCACCCCTGTGGGAGAGACCTGGGTTCAATTCCTGGTTCCCAGCTTCAGCCCAGCCCTGGTTGTTGTGGGCATTTTGGGGATGAACCAGTGGGTGGGAACTCTCTGCTGTCTGTCTGCCTCTCAGAATACATAAACAAATTTTTAAAAAGACATCCCATTAGGTGGCTAGCGTTCCTCCTGAGGCTTGGGAGAGATTTCCAACAGGGAAGATACGTGGTGAGAAGCAGGGAGCCGCATGGCTCTGTGATACTTCAGTGGTAAGATTCACTGGGTGGGGCCAGAGCTATGGCATAGCAGGTGAAGCCACCGCCTTCAGTGCCAGCATCCCATATGGGCACTGGTTCAAGTCCCAGCTGCTCCACTTCTGATCCAGCTCCCTGCGAAAGCAGCGGAAGATGGCCCAAGTGCTTGGACCCCTTTCTCTCTCTCTGTTGCCTCTCTGTTATTCTTTTAAATGAATAAATAAATCTTAAAAAAAAAAAAAAAAGATTCCTGGGGCTAAGATAACCAGGGGAAAGTGCTTTAGAAAGCGGGACCCCTCAGCAAGTGAAGCACTGCCCCCCCCCCCGCCCCGCCCCAGCACCCAGAGCCACACCTCACTGCCGTGTGCAGAGCCACGTGATTGCTGTGACCGCTGACGCCCCCGGCATCGAACGTCACCACCTGTGGAAAAAAACGGGGTCGGCACTCAGGGCATCTGGACGCCAGTCCTCACCCCAACCTCCAGGGCGCCGCCGTCTCCAGTCCCTTGGGAAAGACAGGAGCGCGCACAGGCCGGTGCTGCCTAACTAGTGCGCTGGCTGAGTGGGGCCCGCCCCCGCAGGCTTCGCGGTGCCCTGGTGCTCTTGGCCGGTGGGGCAGAGTGGAATCCAGCCGTATTAGAAACACCGGTTCCCCGGGATCTCTTTGTTGCCTATCTGCTTCACCCTTGATGAGCGCGTTTTGTTTTCCTGGCTGGCTGCTGTGGGACCTTTGGTCATACGGACGCTGCCTGACTTACCACATGCCTTTTCCTCGGGCCACCCTAGGGACACAGAGGCTTGAGGGTCAACGCACACCCGTGCCCCGGGGTGCCCTCCATGGAAAAAGTGTATTTGCTTACAGGCTGCCTCTGTTTCCGTTCTTACAGATTCATCAACAGCTGTTTATCCTTCTAGGTGACAGCATTGCATTTCTGACCAGATAGATTAGAAAAATCAAAGCATCTTTTGAATAACAATAAATCCAGCATGTGGGGGCTGGGGTGAGCTGTCCCTAGGGAAAGTGAGAAAGGGAGGAAGGTGACCGCAGGTAAGGATGAAGGGACCTGGAGCGGAGGCAGGGAAGGGATTCATTCTTGTCTGCAGAACAAGCTGACTTCATGCCTAGAACTTTCTGTTCCTATTGGAGCAGCTGACACTTTGAGTACAGGCACAGCATGAACCCCACCTAATACCCGCAAGTTCAGGAAGCAGAGGCTGAAGCTGGGGTCACCTTGCTGATGAGCAGGGCAGCTGGGCTTGGGACTTGGAGCCCACGTTCTTTACCAGTGTCCCCTGTGTGAGAAGGGGGGCAGGGCAGCAGGGAGACACCCCTGTGTGAGGTTAGGAGCCCTGCACTCTCACTTGGCCAGCGGCCATCCAGGTGCGTGATTTCAGAGAAGTTGCTTCTCTCTGAGTCTGGACCATCTCATCTGGGAGGGAATGTGGTGCTGGGGCCGACGCCAGTGTGGGCCGATGGTCAGGTTTATACGGTTATCACCAGGGTCCCCGATGGGTCCCAGTGGATAGAATGTGAACATGGTTCCCTTCACCGTGCTCGGCACTGAACACACACACATATGCATACATACACACACATGCAAAGACATACATACACAGACACACGTGTGCACACACACATGCATGCACATGATTTGATAATTCAGAAGCTATTAGCCGGCGCCGTGGCTCAATAGGCTAATCCTCCACCTTGCGGCGCCGGCACACCGGGTTCTAGTCCCGGTTGGGGCGCCGGATTCTGTCCCGGTTGCCCCTCTTCCAGGCCAGCTCTCTGCTGTGGCCAGGGAGTGCAGTGGAGGATGGCCCAGGTGCTTGGGCCCTGCACCCCATGGGAGACCAGGAAAAGCACCTGGATCCTGGCTCCTGCCATCGGATCAGCGCGGTGCGCCGGCTGCAGCGGCGGCCATTGGAGGGTGAACCAACGGCAAAGGAAGACCTTTCTCTCTGTCTCTCTCTCTCACTGTCCACTCTGCCTGTCAAAAATTAAAAAAAAAAAAAAAAAAAGAAGCTATTTTCAGATCCTACCATCATGCTCTGGAGCTCTCACTGTGAATCTCAACTTACCACTACACTGACAAAGTTAGCGGAAGTGGTTGGTAATGAAGTGTTTTTGTTTTTGTTTTTAAGATTTATTTGAAAGGCAGAGTCACGGAGGCAGAGGCAGAGAGGTCTTTTATCCACTGGTTCACTCCCCAACTGGCCACAATGGCGGGAGCTGGGCCAATCTGAAGCCAGGAGTCTGGAACCTCTTCCCCTGTGGGTGCAGGGGCCCGAGGACATGGGCCATCTTCCACTGCTTTAATGGAAGACTTTAGTAGGAGGTCAGAACTCACTTAAGTCTCTGAACGGTTAGAGTCACTGTATTTCTGTCCTGACCCCGATTAATGTTAGAATCACCAGGCCAGCGCCGCGGCTCACTAGGCTAATCCGCCTTGCGGCGCCGGCACACCGGGTTCTAGTCCCAGTCGGGGCACCAGATTCTGTCCCGGTTGCCCCTCTTCCAGGCCAGCTCTCTGCTGTGGCCAGGGAGTGCAGTGGAGGATGGCCCAAGTGCTTGGGCCCTGCACCCGCATGGGAGACCAGGAGAAGCACCTGGCTCTTGCCATTGGATCAGCGCGGTGCGCCAGCCGTGGCGGCCATTGGAGGGTGAACCAACGGCAAAGGAAGACCTTTCTCTGTCTCTCTCTCTCTCACTGTCCACTCTGCCTGTCAAAAAAAAAAAAAAAAAAAAAAAAAGTAAAAAAAAAAGTTAGAATCACCAGAGTTCGAATAGGAACAATTGATTATCAGCAATTATTTATTAATCAACGACCCTTTTCACGCTTCTCCTGCATCTTGTGTTTCAGCCCGATTTTATGTTCACATTTTCCCTTTGCTCTTGAGGTCCCTGAGAGAAGACAGATCTAGCTCATTAACCCTAAGCCTATAAAGTGTTTCTCCTAAGGGTGTGGTAACAGGTGAGAGACAATAGCTGCCTGACCTCACTGAGCATTTACCACGTGCCAGGTGCTAGAGTGAGAACCATTCTCACCTTCAACGACAGGACTGTATGTAGTGCCCAGAGAATATATTCTCCTTATAAAAGATTTCTTTATTTGAAAGGCAGAGTGACAGAGAAAGCAGGGGAGGGAGAGAAGAGAGAGAAACATCTTCCATCCACTGGTTCATTCTCCAAATGCTGGGCCAGGTTGAAGCCAGGAAACTGGAACTCCACCTGGGTCTCCTATGTAGGTAGCAGGGGCCCAAGCACTCAGGCCATTTTCCGCTTCCTTCCCAGGCATGTTAGTAGGGAGCTGACTTGGAAGTGGAGCAGACGGGACTCAAACTGGCACTCACATAGGATGCCAGTGTCATAGGTGGCAGCTTAACCCGCTGTGCCACAGTGCCAGCAATGGGAACATGCGGGTTTTTAAATGTGGTTGTCTCTAAAGTTTTAAAGACAGGGTTTTGCCAGTGATGATAAATTACTCATTCACAGGCTGCCCCCTTCCCTGCACAGTGCGGGCTAAAACCATGCAGCTGCAGAGATGAAGCAGATTTTGAGGTCAGTGGCTGGCCCACGGTGCCCTGGCCTTGGCTGTGCTGGGTCAGAGCCATACCTTCTGGTCTAGTAAGATAACCAGATCTGAGAGGCAGAGACAGAGAAAGAACCACAAAACACGACGTCTAGTCACCAGGCAACCCCTGAGAACCAGTGTACCATGGCCCAAGGAGGCCTGCTGGAACCCGGCCATCATGAGATTTGAGACTTCGGGAGCCTCGTGGACAGTCAGCATTAATTCACGTGCGGTCAGGGTTATCTCAAGACGGTCTCCGCGTAACAGGAAGAGGAAAGGTCCTGCCATGGGCGTGGCCTCCTTTGTGAAGACCAGGAAGCTAACGGTGGATGTATGGTGCTATGGTTCAAGAGCCCACCGGGGGCCGGCGCCACAGCTCACTAGGCTAATCCTCCGCCTTGCGGCACCAGCACACCGGGTTCTAGTCCCGGTTGGGGCGCCGGATTCTGTCCCGGTTGCCCCTCTTCCAGGCCAGCTCTCTGCTGTGGCCAGGGAGTGCAGTGGAGGATGGCCCAAGTCCTTGGGCCCTGCACCCCATGGGAGACCAGGAGAAGCACCTGGCTCCTGCCATCAGATCAGCGCGGTGCACCAGCCGCAGCGCGCTGGCTGTGGCGGCCATTGGAGGGTGAACCAATGGCAAAAGGAAGACCTTTCTCTCTCTCACTGTCCATTCTGCCTGTAGAAAAAAAAAAAAAAAGAGGCCACAGGGGACGCTCGTGTCGTGTGTCAGAGTGCCTGGGTTCAAGTCCTGGCTCCGCTCCTGATTCTAGCTTCCTGCTAAAGTGCACCCTGGGAGGCAGCAGGTGATGACTCGAGTCCTTGGGTCCCTGCCACCCACATGGAAGACTCTGATTGAGTTCCATGCTCCTGGCTTCAGCTTGGCCCAGCCCTGGCTGCTGTGGGCATTTGGGGAATGAACTAATAGATGGGGGTGGAATGGGGTGGGGGTTCCTCTGTCTATCTGTCTCTCTGCCTTTCAAATAAATTAAGTAAATAATGAAACAATGATAACCACAAAACGAGAGGCTCTCTGACAGAGGCTGTCACCCCTTCCTTGGTCTTATGTTCTGTTTGCACTGTTTGCATGGGATCTGGTGCTGTGCACAGCAAGGCTTTCCAAGGGCATGTCAATCAATGCTGAGCCTTCCTATTAGTAGTGTGTGTTCCATGTCCCCAGACACCTGCTGATCCCTGAACCGTTGCTCAAAGACTCTCAACCCTCCCGTGTAGTGCTCAGGTCCCAGTTAAAGCGCAGCTTAGCCTTGGAACGGTCACAGCCTCCGCCGCCCTGCTGTGTGGGAGGGCTCTGGTAGGCTGAATGATCATCCACCAAATCTATCCTGATCCCTGGAACCTGTGAATGTCGCCTCACATGGCAAAATGACTTTGCACGTGTGACAGGGTTAAGGATCTTCACATGGGGGAGGTCATCTTGGATTAGCTGGTGGGCCTGAGGTAGCCTCCGTCGTCCTTGTAAGATGGAGATAGGAGGATCAGAGGGCAGAAACTGGCGTGAAACATTTTGAAGTCAGAGCAAGAGGCCACAAGTCAAGGAAGCCAGGTGGCCATAGAAGCTGGAAATGGCAAGGGAACGGATTCCGCAAGGACATGCAGAAGGCAGCGGCCTTGCCAAGACCTTGCTTTTAGCTCAGTGTGGACTCCAGAAAGGTGAAGGAATGAGAGTGTGTTGTGTTGAGCCATGACGTGTGTGTACTTTGCTGCAACAGCCATGGGAAGCTAATGTAAGAAGGAAAACCAACCTTGGAGGGAAGGCTTGGGACGTGGCAATGCTGTCTACCTTACAAATAGGTCTAAGACCGGTCACCTTCCTGCTCCCAGGGGCCCTCTACACACCAGCGTTTCACACCCAGTTTTGTTCACTTCTAAGGTACAACCCTCCCGCTCAACAACATCTGAGGCTCCAAATACTCCAGCACTTGACATGCTTCCAAAGCCAGAGGCATGAGCACAAGAACAGGACTGTTTCGCCTCCACTTTACGATTCACTCGTCCTATCCACCTTTAATCCTGCACCCTCTTCTCTGGGGATTGCAGGCTCACCCACAGTACAACCAACCCCTCAGCCTTTGACGCCTCTGCCAGTAGGAATAAGGAGGCCTCACAGAGGCAGTGTGTGTAGCACAACTCTCCCACCCATCATCCCTCTTGGATCTCAGAATGATCCTACGAGACAGGCAGGGCAGACAATACTAACTCAAAATGATGGATTACAACCCTGAGGTCCAAGGGCAGATGTTTGGCCCAGAAGTGGTGGAGGCACTGCTTGGGATGCCTGTGTCAGGTATCAGAATGCGAAGCTTTGATTCGTGGCTCCACTCTCGACCCAGTTTCCTCCTAATGTAGACCCTGGGAGGCAACAAGTGAAGACTCAAACCAGTGATTGGTACCTGACACCCGGGTGGAAGACCTGGCCGTTGCAGGCCTTTGGGGACTGAATCAGTGGATGGGAGCTCACTCGTTCACCTTTCTGTCCTTTCTTTTCTTCCATCTTTTCTCCCTTGCTCAATAAATACATTAAAAAAAAAAAAAAAAAAAAAGACTTGGACTTGAAAAAAAGAAACTGAGATCCAGAAAACTGGTTCTTACTCAATGGTTTCACAGTAAACGGACCACCCTGAAAGTATACAAAGAAATGTTAAAAATGTCATGGGGAGAGCTGGCATCTTGTAATTGCTACTCTGTGTCTACTGTGGTTTCTCAGGGCATCAGTCCATTTTCCATGGCTATCATGAAGCAGCTGAAGCTGGGTACTTAGAAAGAAGAGGTTTATTGAGTTCAGAGTTTTGGAGGCTGAAAGACCAAGATTGGGCAGCCCCATCTGCTAGGTGCTGGTGAGGGCCCCTCAGCTGTGTCACAGTGTGGCTGAGGAACAGAACCAGCCACAGTGCAGCAGGGGGCAGGCTCGTGGGGTGGCCACTCACTCACAGGGCAGCGCCCCCTAATGGCCTAATCACCTCTCACTAGGCCCCACCTCTTCAAGGTTCTACCATCTCTCAGAATTGCCTCACTGGGGGCTAACCTTCCAGCGTGGGCACAAACCACATCCAAATCACAGCTCTGAGGAAGAAGGGAAATGCACAGTCTACTCCCTGCTCCACTCCCCTGGATGGCCTGAGGACGCACACATCCAGTCCAGGCTCTGAGAAGATCTTCCAGGCTTCCAGGCACAACATCACAATTCTCAGTGAACCAACAACATGTGACGAGTTAAACAGAGCAGGCTCTTTTTTTTCCCCCAGAGAAACGACAAAAACAAACCAAACTCCTAGAGATTATGCGACTACTATTTATGGAGCAGCTTCAGCTTTTTAAAAAGAACTTTTCTTTTTTAGCTGGCCCAAAAGCCAGCTGAGATTTCCCCATACTGCTTCCATCAGCCATGCTTCCAAGAAACAGATCAGTGACAGCAGCAATGCTGGCCCCAAGGCTCAGCAAACCCATAATGATGATCTCAAACTTATTTTATTGATAAAAGGAAATGATATGCTTTAAGAAGTCAACTTTAACATGAGATGAAATAAAAGCATTTCTTTGTTTAAGTTAACTACTTAAACTTATGTCACAGCTCTGTCTATTAAAAAAGCAGAAATCACCATCAATCCACTAGTGATGAGCATCCTTGGCACCCATATCACTCTCTTAAAAATACTGTGTCTCAGGGGGCTGGTGCTGTGGCACAGCAGATAAAGCTGCCGCCTGCAGTACTGGCATCCCACATGGGCACCAGTTCAAGTCCCGGCTGCTCCACTTCTGATCCAGCTCTCTGCTATGGCCTGGGAAAGCAGTGGAAGATGGCCCAAGTGCTTGGGCCCCTGCACCCACATGGGAGACCCAGAAGAATCCCCTGGCTCCTGGCTTCAGATCAGCACAGCTCTGGACATTGAGGCTGATTGGGGAGTGAACCAGCAGATGGAAGACCTCTCTCTCTGCCTCTCTTTCTCTCTGTGTGTAACTCTTTCTTCAAATAAAATAAATCTTTAAAAAAATATCGCTTCTCAGGGTGGGCGTTTGGCGTACTGGACAAGAAGCTGGTTAAGAAGCCCACGTCTGACATTGGGGCCAGCACCATGGCTCACTTGGCTAATCTTCCACCTTGCGGTGCTGGCATCCCATATGGGTGCCAGGTTCTAGTCCTGGCTGCTCCTCTTCCAGTCCAGCTCTCTGCTGTGGCCCGGGAAGGCAATGGAGGATGGCCCAGGTGCTTGGGCCCCTGCACCTGCGTGGGAGACCAGGAAGAAGCACCTGGCTCCCGGCTTCGGATCTGCGTAGCTCCGGCCGTAATGGCCATTTGGGGGGAGAACCAACGGAAGGAAGACCTTTCTCTCTGTCTCTCTCTTACACTGTCTATAACTCTACCTGTCAAGGAAGAAGAAGAAGAAGAAGAAGAAGAAGAAGAGGAGGAAGAGGAGGAAGAGGAGGAAGAGGAGGAAGAGGAGGAAGAGGAAGAGGAAGAGGAGGAAGAGGAAGAGGAAGAAGAAGAAGAAGAAGGAGAAGAAGAAGAAGAAGCCCACGTCCGACATTGGAGTATCTGGGTTCAATGCCCTGGGTTTGGCTCCTGACTCTATATAGACCGTGTGAGGCAGCAGTGACGGCTCAAGTGATGGGGTTCCTGACAGCAGGCAAGAGATCTGGGTTGAGTTTCTGGCTTCTGGTTTCACCCCGGCCCAGTCCTAGCTGTTTCAAACATTTAGGGTGTGAACCAGTGGATGTCTCTCTCTGTCTCTTTCTCTATGCCTGTCAAATAAATAAATAAATTTAAAGATTAAAAAAGAAATATCATTTTACATCAAAAGGAACCAGGGCTCCTTGGGATAATGGCTGAATTCCAGACCAGGGCAGGATATGTCCAAGATGAATCTCAACATTTTAAAAAAATAGTTATTTATTTATTTGAAAGGCAGAGTGACGGAGAGAGAGGGAGAGAGAAAGAGATCTTCTTCCATCTGCTGGTTCACCCTCCAAATGACACCATGGTTGGGGCTGGTTTCTTCAATGTCAAGTGAGAATTACAACTACACTTATCTCTGCAGTGTCACGCTGACCCTGCCAATGTGACAATGCTGGGGGGAGTGAAGGCCGATACCCAGGCTTCTGGAGTCCTGGGGTTTCAGGTAACTGACAAAGGCCATAGGGACACCAGCTGGGAAACTGTTGGCCCCCAGCCAAGCACTGATAATCCAGCTCCCCAGACTCGCAAAAGAGCAAAAGAGCAATCCAAGACATCCGGAGGAGTGTTTGTTTCTGGGTAGGCTTCAGAGAGCACACTGAGGGCTGTGGCCTCTATTTTACAGACTGGCGCTGGAGTGGGGCTGGGAGGGGGAGGCTGCACAACCTGACTGGTGGGACTGGGAGTGGGACCTGGGCTTCCTATGCAGGGTGGCACCCCCTTACCAGATTGATGTCATTCACCTCCACGTGCCGGAGAAGGGTGTTGGCCACGAGCTCTGTGTCCCACTGCACTCCTGGGTCATCTGGGAAATCCCTGCAAGGGAGAAACATGACCTGAACATGGCGTAGTGGGTAAAGCTGCCTCTGTGACCCCGGCATCCTATGTGGGCATCAGTTTGTATCTGAGCTGCTCCACTTCCAATTCAGCTCCCTTATAATGGCCAGGGAAAAGCAGTGGAAGACAGCTCAAGTATTTAGCGCCAACATCCATGTGGGAGATCTGGATGAAGCTCCTGGCTCCTGGCTTTGGCCTGGCCCAGGGCTGATTGTTGCAGTTACCTGGGGAGTGAACTCGTGGGTGAAAGATCTCTCTCTCTCTCATTCTGTCTATATGGTTTTCAAATAAATAAATAAATATTTTTAAAAAATTATTTATGTATTCACTGAGAGAGAGACAGAGACAGAGATCTTCTATCTGCTGGGCCACTGCCCAAATGTCCACAACAGCTAGGATTGGGCCTGGCTGAAGCCAGGAGCCCAGAACTCAATCTGGGTCTCCCACATGGGTGGCAGGGACCCAAGTGCCTGAGCCATCACCCGCTGCCTCCCAGGGTGCGCGTTAGTAGGGAGCTGGAATCGGGAGCACAGTGGGGACTGGAACTCAGGCACGCAAGACGGGACGAGGGGGTCCCAAGCGGTGGCTTAGCTGCTGTGCCACATGCCCGGCACCAAACATCCTCAGCTCAGGTCGGTGTGTGCGGTCTTGCAACAACAGGGGGAGTGGGGCAGGGGGGTGGGTGATTTCCCACCTTTAAGGTATTCAGATTTCAGTGGAAAAGACCAGATTTACGAAGATGAAGCAACTAGAAATGAAAGGACAATGCCACACCACACAGTGTTTGGGGTTTTGAGAGCCGAGTGCCGAGGGGAAGAGCCCGCGACAGTGAGACAAGGCAGCCGCGTTCACGGTGAACTTGGGCACAAGGCACTTTACAAGAATAATAGTAACAGTGTAAAGGGTGTGTTGCACCTCTCCTCCTCCCCCAATGTGGGAGATCCGCTCATGGTCTCTCTCTCTCTCTCTAGCCACCTGCAAAACGAAAATTAGATAAGCGAAAGGCCTCCAAGGCTTCTGGAGAGTCTCTGGTGCCAAGTTCCCTCGGCAACCAGACCAGATAAAACCCAGCCCTATGCCTGCCTTGCACTCAATGTCTTGGGAAACTGTCACCGCCTCTTTGCTTCAATACAGCAGCCTGTCTTTGTTGAGGTCGGTCTACAGCTCCTTTTTCTCTCTCTTTTCTGGGGGCATGAAAGGCCAGAACCCTGAGCTGTTCCAAACCTAACAGTGTGTTAATCAACAGCATGGAAGTATGACCTCCACTTGACCTCATGGGCCGTGTCATGCCAAGTTTAAGCAGCTGCCTTGCAAGGTTGTTGGAGTTTGGTTTGAAGCCAGGTTTCTGGCTGCAAAGCGGAGAGGTGCTAGCACCAGGGAGCCAGTGTTACCTCCCCTGCCACATTCCAGAAGCAGAGGTTTCTGTGTCTCCATCAGAATAACCTGCAGCTTAACCCGTGGCCTCGTCCTGGCTCTACAGAAGTGCTCCCCCTACAGAAATCCTGCCTGTGCCTTTTTCGTACGTGGGTTTATGAGGTCACCAGGTATGGGACAAGGCCTCCATTGACCCCCTTTTTTGAAAACACCCGTCTTATAAACAGACACCCATCTCTCCTTGGCTTGGGGCCTGCAGAGAGGGAGGCAGGCTGCTCCCTCTCCCTGTAGCCAAAGGCTGTTCATTGACCCTCCTGGGCCTCGGGGCAAAGGAGAGTCACTGGAGGCTTTTCAGCAGGAACCTCAGCACTAAACAAGGCCGAGTTTTCCTTGGCTTCGGCCACCTGTCCTCAGCCCCCAGGCTGCCTTCTGCGCTGACTTTCCAAAGCTCTGTCCCGTCAGCCTCTCCCTGTGGGTCTCAGGATGCTCCTAAGGCGAGCTGGGGAGCTCAGACAGTGGCCGAGAGACACAGTTACAGGAGCCAGAGTGACGAGAGCCACACACGCGCTCCTAGGCGGAGGGCACGTGTGGATGTATCGAGGCAACATCGTCTGGAACTGAACACTCCAGTAATATTTACCTGGAACTTTTGTACACAGGCTGCAGAAGGAGTCTAAGAGGAAGGGGAGGAGAGTGCTGGCTAAGCCTACCAGTTCTCAGTGCTGGAAGTGCTGAAAAGTCAGTCCCTGGGTCCTGCACTGTGGCACAGTAGGTCAAGTTGCAGCCTGGGACACTGGCATCCCATGTGACCACTGGTTCGAGTCCCGGCTGCTCCACTTCTGACCAAGCTCCCTGATAATGCACCTGGGAAGGCAGCAGCACATGGCCCAAGTACTTGGGCCCCTGCCACCCAGGAGAGATCTGGATGCAGTTTTAGGATCCTGGCTTTGGCCAGGCCTAGCTTTGGTCATGGTGGCCATTTGGGGAGTGGGCTGGAGAATAGAGATCTGTGTGTGTGTGTGGGTGGGTGGGTGGCTGTGCCTTTCAAAGACAGGAAATAAATTTTAAAAGGAAGAATGAAGAGAAGGAAGAAAGGCCACCTTCCCTGTATCTTCAGGGAACCAGGATCTGCAGGGTCTGCTATGGAGGGAAGTTCCCTCCCAGTGGGGCTCCCAGGAACTGGTATTGCCCCGCCCTCTGAGAGAGGGCAAGGGGACTTTGGCCAGTAAATATCTGCTCTGTGATGTGGCGTGTCTGATACTGCTGCACTGCTTCTGTGACCAAGTCCAAACATCTCGCAGTCAGGCACTCGGGTTTTCCATGATCCATCTCCTGTTTTGATTCACTTCGATTCTCTTTATTTGAGGAGCAAATGAAGTAACAGTGTGAGAAAGCACTTACAAATTGTTAAGAGGGGCTGGCACTCTGGTGCAATGGGTTAAAGCTCAGGCATCCCATATGGATGCCAGTTCGAGTCCTGGCTGCTCCACTTCCAATCCAGCTCTCTGCTAATGCACCTGGGAAAGCACTGGAAGATGGCCCAAGTCCTTGGGCCCCTCCATCTGTATGGGAGACCTAGAAAAAGCTCCTGGCTCCTGGCTTTGGATCAGCTCAGCTCCGGCTGTTGTGGCCATCTGGGTAGAGAACCACAGGATGGAGGACATCTCTCTCTCTTTCTGCCTCTGCCTCTCTTGTTCTACCTTTCAAATAAATAAATAAATCTTAAAAAAAACTGTAAAGAAACATGCAAATGTCAAAATTGTGGCTGTTACAGCTGCATTAGTCTAATGTAAGCCTCTTTATTTAAAAAAAAAAAAAAGATTTATTTATTTGAAAGGCAGAGTGAGAGTGAGATGAGAGAGAGCGATCCTCCATCTGCTGGTTCACTCCCCAATTGGCCACAACAGACAGGGCTGGGCCAGGCCAAAGCCAGGAACTAGAACTCCACCCAGGTCTCCCATGTGGATGGCAGGGGCCCAAGCACTTGAGCCATCTTCTGCTGCCTTCCCAAGTGCATTAGTAGGGAGCTGGATCCGGAAGTGGAGCAGCCGGGACTCAAACCTGCGCTCAATTAACCTGCCTGGTGGTGATGCTGGCCCTTACCAAGCCTTTTAGAAGAAAGAATTCTCCCTTCCTTCTTTCTCGCTCTGGAAGTCTCCTGAGAGGCATTTTGCTAATGGTCGGTGGTTTCAAAGTAGGTGTGGGCCCCGCTGGAGCGGTCTGAGATGTTCCACTAGAATTTCTGTTTGTGATGGTACCAAGATACCTGTGGGAAATGGAATGAAAAGATAAGCTTATTTTGGTGCAAAAAAAATTTTTAAAATATCTTTGCATAGTTTTTTCATTATAATACATTTTCATGAACTTTTTTGAAGATCTCTCTTAGGCATGCATTTAAAATTTTTTTGCACCAAAACAAACTGATCTTTTAGTTCCATTTTCTAAAACCTTTTTAAAGTACTCTTATACATGTTTTTCTATCTGTTTAAACTTCTATTCTGTAGCTATTTTATGAAGTTATACTAACAGTATTTAACATGTTCAGAATTCAGTAAATAAGCCCCCAAATATGGAAGTGCATACTCAAGTTTCTTTCTTGACATCAGAGGAGTATAATAAAAAGTGTTTAGAGATTACCGGTCTAACTTACTCACCCTGTACTTTTTTTTTCTAGAGAGAGATATATATCTTCCATCTGCTAGTTCATTCCCCAAATGACTGCAAGGACTAGGGCTGAACCAGACCAAAGCCAGGATCCAGGAGCTTCTTCTGGGTCTCCCATGTGGGTACAGGGGCCCAAAGACTTGGGCCATCTTCAGCTGCTTTCCCAGGTGCATTAGCAGGGAGCTGGACTGGATGTGGAGCAGCCGGGACTTGAACCAGCGCCCACATGGGATGCCAGCATTTGTAGGTGGTGGCTTTTACCCACTATGCCACAATACCAGCCCTTCACTCTGTATTTACTCAATTTTTTTTCTCCTGGGTATTTTAAAAACAACTTTATTGAGGCATAACTTACATAATAGAAAACTCGTCCATTTCAAAACACACAATTAGTGATGTTCAGTAAATGTTTAGAATGCGCACATTTTATTTTTACTAGTGTTTTGCCTAGATTTGATTCTTGACTCTCCAATTCTATCAGACAAATGTTCCATTAGTTCCACTAGTCATTTATCAATCAAGGCTGAGCCAGGAAAATGGAAGCCATGAGGAATTTAATACAGAGACTGGTTTACCCACTTGATGGAAAAGACCGGAGGCACCAAACAGGGAACAATGAAAAACCCAGGAACTGACAACAGCAGGAAGCCCCTTCAAGCTTCTAGGATGGGACAGCGAAGCCGTGGACCAGAGTGACGGTGGGAAGTAGAATGGCGAGAGCCAGTGTCAGGGAAAACACCACGTCACTGATGGAGACGCAGCCCAACGAGGAAGGGGAAATACCCTGGTTTTCCCTCCCCTAAGTCTAGTCTTCCATCACTGCCGTATGTTTGTCCAGCCTATACAGAAGCCAACTGGCCAGGGAACCTGGAGACTGTAGTTTCCATCGGTACAAAGACAGAGATAAGTTACCAGCAGTCTCACTCACCGTAGATGCTTAA